GGAATGCGAGCTGGAGTGCCCACGTTGTTACTGCTCGTGCTTCAGCAAAAGCAGCCCAACTCAGTGGGTTGCAGTCAACGTTGACTGGGTTAACCCTTCTTCCACATATATGCACGCTGCTGCGCATGGCCCCCCCCGCTTCGATCCATTCCCTGATTTTCATTCCCTCGCAGTTCTTTTACCGGCAATGTGGCTACGTCACCTTTGTTGGGTGGAGGCGCTGCCTATATTCAGGCTGGCAGCATGAACTTCACGTTCTCCCAGTTCACGTCTAACAGCGCTTCAGGCTTTGGCGGAGCATTGTACACCAGTACTGGGGCTAATCTGAGCTGCAGCGGTTGCACGTTTAGTTTGAATACTGTTGGTAGCGAACAGGCAGGGTCAGCACAACTCGGCAACAGCCAGGCCAATGGCAGTGGTGGTGCCATCTTTGCAGATTCCAGCAACTTGTACCTTGATACATGCGAGTTCGCACTCAATACTGTACAGCAGGGTCCTGGTGGCGGTGGCGCCATCGCCGTTCGCAATGCTTCATTGCTGTCCATTAGCACCACTGTCAGCTTCATAGGCAACAATGCATTGGTTGGCGGCGCGATCTCGAGTCGAGACTCCACATTAAACCTTATCTTCACAAGCTTCTTCAACAACTCTGCTGCTGAACGCTATGGTGGTGCAGTGTTCGCCTCCCGCAGCCGCCTAACATTGCTATACTGCGTCCTGACGGGTAACAGCGCCAAACAAGGAGGGGCGTTGTGTGTGGATTGCGATAGTCAAGGTAACAATAGCCAGCAGGAGGGTGCGGTGTTACGACGTATCCCCTTCGACACCACCATGGCGCCTACAAATGCAACATACCTGATGTTAAGCAGCAAGCTGCTTGATGTCTTCAACAGCTCGCCGACACGAATCGACCGCTGCACCTTCACACAGAACACCTGCAAAGGTGGCGCTTCTGATGACTCTGCTGGTGGTGCAATGCTAGCCAATGGCCCTGTTTTTATCCAAGCGTCACAGTTTATTGGCAACAGCTGCCCTAGAGGTGGCGCCGTAGCCTTCGGCTCGGGCCAGCAGCTCATCGGCACCAGCAGCGATTGGGTGGCTGTTACTCTGAGCAGCTTTCGGTTTAACCGTGCAGACACCCGTGGCGGCGCTGTGAGCTTGGTCGATAGTAACGTCGCTTTGTATGGCTTCTTCTATGGAAACAGCTTCATGGCCAACTCGGCAGGAGCAAGTGGCGGTTCGATTGAGGCAAGTTAACTTGGTGCTGCTCAAGATGTGTGTGACCATTTGTTTTTCACTGGAATCGGCTGGGGTGGAGGTGTGTTTTCCTTCATTCTGGATGGCTGGGACGAGTTTTGCAACTCGACAATTGTCGACGAAGATGGAAAGCCAGAGCCGAGCCTAGGGGTGATTAGGCAGGACACAAGCGAGGGAGCGCAAACTGATTAATGCGTTGCTAATTATGGATGTCTACTGCTGCTCAGGAGGAAGCTAAGCAAGCAGCAAATCCTTTCCCCACAACCCCAGCAGATAGTAATGGACGCGCTAGTACAGAGGGAATCCTGCATGCTCGAACTGAATCAATGAAATGAAGTCGATAATTAATGTAATGGGTGGCGTATAAAGCACACATCGTTGTGTAATACCTAGCCGGTGTGGCACGCAAGCGTATGTGAGTATGTAGCCCATGGGCGGAGGAACTAATGAGCGATGCGACTAAAAGGGTAATAAATCATGCAAGGAAAGAGCAGTAACTAGTGCAAGCAACGTATAGGTTACATGGCCTGCAATTTGCCTTTCGAAGAGTTTTAGACGCATGCATCTTGTGTGCGTAATGTATATTTCGGGTCCGTTAAGCCTTCGGAGAGGGAGAGTAACACAACTAAAAGTGTAACATGCGCGCGCGTCCCCCTCCCTCCACACCCCCCACACACACCCCACCCCCACCCCCACCCCCCCACCCCCCAACCCCCAAACCTCCCCAACCCCCCACCCCACACACACACATTTGCAATAATCACACATCCGCCGATGCAGCGTGCATGTGCCTCAATGAGTTTTCCCCCATATGTATGCATGTGAGCAATGTATGGTTTTACCCAACCATGTACCTGAGGTGGCAACCTCAACCTCAACCTCCGCGTCGTGTAGGCACGCATGGGGTGGGCCCTCGACCTGCTGGAAAACAACTTCACGGCCAACGGCAACTCCAACTCCAGCCTTGTGGGCGGTGCAGTGTACTTGGAGCAGTGCGCCAACCTTCAGACAGATGTTGCTGGCTATCCAAACGTCGCCTCGGTGCGCAACAACTTTGTCGAGAATTTTGGTGACAGGTAAGTGTCGAATCGTTAGGCCTGCCGAAATCCTGCGTGGCGTGACTGCCGCCATCTGACGTAATGCCATGCGTGCGCACGTACGACTACATGTGCTACATACATACTGGAATTACATGTTTGATACCGTGCTACTACACCATCATTTTCATTAACTGCTCCGTTTGTTTTCCGCATTTGATGGACATATATACAGGGGTGCCGCAATGTATGTGAGTGCCTGTAATTTCACAGCGTACAAGGATTGCTACGTCAGTAACCGTGCATTTTCTGGTGGAGGAGCTTTGCAAGTCCTTAACGCGAATCAAGAACCGGCATCATTTTTGGAGGTACGTACACCTATCATAATGGATGAGTAAAATATACATTATTATGGATGCTTTATAACCTAGTTCAGCCGAAGCTGCAAAAAGTAATAAATGTATTATTATATTAGTAATGGATTATTGACGCAGCAGGCCGAGCAGCCAACCCGCTGCCGCGAAATTCTACTCCGTTCGTTACCGCATGTCGCCCACCCGTAGCTTCCTGCTGGCTCCATACGATCCGCCGTTTGCATGTTGTTTGTTGTCGTCGCATTGCATATCGTTCTTCGATATTTGCTTCTGCCCAGCAGGATCAAGCCTGCAGCATCCTCCTCCTGTTCCCGGGGTCTACATGGTTGGTTCTATCTGCCCTTCCTAACCGTTCTTTTCCGTTCCTTTCCCTCATTATTAACTCGAATCACAGATGCGTGGCGTCTACGCAGAGAGCAATTACGCAGGAGGCTCCGGCGGCGCACTCTTGGTCAGCGGCAACAGAGTGAACATCTTGGACTCTGTTTTTGTGAACAATTCTGCAGAGGGCGCCGGTGGAGCGCTGATGGTGCGTGGGAGGTCGGGTGGGTTTGCGGATATGGACTCCTATAGGGGCTGGTTTGTGAGGCTGGCCACACGCTAGGAAGCCATGGCTTCCTAGCGTGATTGGATATGATGTGTGGGACAGGGGGCCACATCTTCACCCGTGGCCGCCACCCGGCGGAACCCTGCCTTCTCCGTATATCGGGGCACCCTCATCTAGTCACCCTAGTCAACTTCTCAGTAAATTGCTTAGGTTCCGCACCCACCACCAGCATTCAACGAAATCTGCCGGATCGATGGCGGCCCAACACTATTCCAGGTGGGCTCGCGTGTAAACTTTTTCCCTGGCCACCACCGTCCAACTGACTAGGGACACTTTGCCTTCCATTATCGGAAGAATTTTCGACTGGGGCAGGTCTCGATCCCAGGATATCCCTGGGGCAATGGTCCGTGCCTTACCAAGAGTGCCTAACATGAGCATGTATGTATGAGTATGTATGTGACGGAGGATTAGCGTCGTCCAGCCGTAGATTGCTGCTATATTGGGGGACAGTCAACAGCTGTAAGTCTGCTCATTCACTGCTGTCCTGCATAGTCGTTTTTGTTTAGTTCATTCACCACCGTTTGTTTAGTTCATTCACCACCGTCCAATTGACCGGATAAGGGTCAGGGAAGGGGTTTCCATTGCGAGTTGGTGGGGCAAATGCCGGAGCCTGGTTTGAAGGGGATGTGTACTGTTGCCTCGCCCTGCCCATTTGTAAGTGGTGAATACCTTCGCATCTCCGTTTTGCTAAATTAGGCGTGCATTTCTCCTGCCTACCATTGTCTTCTGCTTGTACATTTCACTGCGTTTATGCACCCACAAGAATGAATGCCTTGGTGGATATTGCGGACGGAAGCGCACCCGAATTTCGCTGCCCTAGCCTGCTGCTGGCCATGAGCCGGTGTGGGTGGTGCGGCCCAAACACCACTAATAAGCGAGGCGGATTGGCACGTCTCTCAATTCCTCACCTCGGCCCTTAACACATGCCGCCAGTTCCAGGCCGGCGTACACCTCTTACAGCAAGGTTGATCCTGCTGCATTTTGCGTATTTTTTCTTCCATTCGCCCCCTTGGCCGCAAACGAACCGGGGGATGTTGAACATATATAATCAGGATTCATAGATTGTTTCTAGGAAGCATTCCAAGCAAGTTTTGTCAACCTGAACTTTTGTGCAACCTTACTGCATTTTTATTACGTTCTTTGCAGGTTTCGCAGTCGTCTCCGTCGTCTGCGCTTCGGGTGCTCCAGCGCGATGCGACGGAGCCGTCTTACTCTACCGCGGAGTACGAATTCTTCCGGGTACGATTTTATAGGAACCGATGTTATTTATAACTCGGTTATCCGCTCAAACGTTCCGGTCTGTCCACGACCTGACAATGCTTTTGTTTAATGATCTCGCTCTTACAAAGTCGACTTTAGGAATGGAGTGAAAGCAGCTGCATGAGCGGCGGGCTCGATTTCCTCCCTCGAGGCAGACCGAGGAGCAATTTGAACAGCTTTATGTGTTTGTGTGAGCTCTATCTGCTGTGGGCTTCTCCTTTTCCAGGGACCTAACTACCGCAACAACTACGGAAAAGGACTTTTCAGGACGGTCTAGCTAGGCTTATAGGAGCCCTGCGTGCATTGATAGTTGCATGACGACCTCGCCATGTAATGTTTTTAAAGCCGTAGCTCATAGGTTTTGATGAACACTATCGTCATGCTATTCATGTCGCCCACTGAGTGCCACTTTTAATTCCACATAATTATCTTGCTCGCATCCTTTTTTAGTGTTTATTTTTTTTAATTTCGTGGTAATGACGCTGACAGACAAGCATCGTGGATATTACATTCACCGGGAACAGCGCTATCACTGGCGGTGGCGCCATCTACTCGGAAACGTCCCGAATGCTCGTCGAGGACAGCACCTTTGACAGCAACACCGTGGGCGACGGTATAACTACTGATGTGTGGTACGTGACGCACACATACACACACGCACTGTAAAGATGCAAAAAGCCATTCTGAGCATAACGGGATGCGCCTTTCCTGTGTTACAATGGTATCGAGACGGGATCGCGCGACTGTCGTAACAAACTTCAGGTCGGCGTTTCGATTCTGGCAATCATCAGATCGTAAATTGTCGATTTTATGGTGTAATGGATAAACCAGCGTACTGGCGCGAGGTAGGCTGGCTCCTGTGCTCGAAATAATGGTCGAGGACGTCCACTGCTAAGTGGGGGGCAATGTAACGACGCAAAAAGCCATTTTGAGCATCCCGGGTTACGCCTTTGCTGTGTTACACGCACACATGCAGCTGTGAGAAATTCGCCAAGTCATAGTGTACCACCTACAAGTTTTAGTGTACCTCACACCCCCGGGATCCCTAACAAAGCTGCCTTCAACCACTTCGCCTGGTCGCCTTACTCGCACCCTCTCACAACTCAAGAGCGCCAAACCAAAAAACAGAAAGAAAATCATCTCCGGCGGCGGCAGGGATCCACACTGGGTGCTTTGCTGCAAACTCAAAAGACGAGGCGAGGGAAGACCTAACTAGGCCCGACACGGCCCCTTAGAAGGACTGACTCCCCTAGCCAAGGAGACTCATGCATTTGTTGTTGTTGTGGTGGTGGTGGTGGTTTCTTCTTGGTAAGGGCCTCCAGATTATACTTCCCAGCAACTCCTGGGGGGGTTCCTTGGCCAGGTGCATGCTGGAGGCTTCATGAAAGCGGCTCTGCATGTCTGTAGCAGTCGCTCACCGGATGGGACGACGACTGGCTTTGCGGAAGCGTGGAATCCAGGGTCCTCGCTGAGGCGGGAAGGAGTCCAACCCAGCGACAAGCTCTAGCGTACATAGACAACTACGAAACAACTAAGACGGCGGCAGCGGAGTTTTGAACTCCGAATACCTAGCAGTCGTGGTACTTTAGTGCTTGTCCAGAGCTCTTCGTCCGGGTAGCTTATATCTCGGCCTACCTGCCGGAGAATCTCTACTACGGACCTGCCGTACTAGGCTAATGTCGATGGGGCCCGGGGCCCCAGCCCGTTAGGTTTGCTACGGGCAACTGCCATCTTCGTGACAGGTTACGACAGTACGTGACATGTACGAAACTTGAGTCGAATCGTCAACAAAGTGATTAACAGTTATTGTTAACAATAATTGTTGGCATATGCTAAGGGAAATGTTGCGTACTACAATGTCACTCACGTCAACCAACCACCTGTTGCTTGTCCGAGAACGAAGAATGTCCATGCACTGCCCGTCAAGCACACACCCACATGCCAGGTTGCGCAACCAACGGTTTCCGGAGCTCTGCACAACAACTTTTTGTGACCGAAAATCTCGTGACGCCACAGTTTAATGGACAGCAAATTTAAGCAAGCAATCTGTGTGAGTCAACCATGTCACACATATGCTGCTTTGGTGTCTTTGTTCCTACGTACTGTCGCAGGTCGGACAGCGGCGGCGCAATCTTCGCGACCGAGTGTTTTGACACGTCACAAGTGAAGGGCTGCGCCTTCATGAGCAATACGGCCTTAGGTGAGACCTCGGCGCCGGGAGGGCGGCCTGGGAAACCTGCATCCAGGATTGGGGCCAGAAGGATAGAGAGATGCTCAGGAAAAAAGAACAGAGAGAGGGATAAAGGGGAAGCAGACATTTGATGAGCCAACCAACAAGCTCAACGCCTTGCTTGGCCCCTCCATTTTTACAAACTTGGCAACTAAACAACTACTCACTCGTGCTTCAAATTTATGGAGCACCCCAACGAGCCCAATCCCTGTGTGTTGGTGTGTGTGTTGGTGTGTGTGTTGGTGTGTGTGTTGGTGTGTGTGTTGGTGTGTGTGTTGGTGTGTGTGTTGGTGTGTGTGTTGGTGTGTGTGTTGGTGTGTGTGTTGGTGTGTGTGTGTTGGTGTGTGTGTTGGTGTGTGTGTGTTGGTGTGTGTGTTGGTGTGTGTGTTGGTGTGCGTGTTGGTGTGTGTGTTGGGGTGCGTGTTGGGGTGCGTGCTGGGGTGTGTGTTTTGGGGTGTGTGCCCTGCCTGTCGCATCACTAACTCAATGCCGCCAGCTGTCAAACCCACGACGCGCACACTGGCCACTGTCGTGCGAGGACGGATAGTTACAGACACACATAACTACACACTACCGGTCCATATGCCAGGATAATCAACACATGTACAACAACGTAATGCATGTATGTAGGTGGTCCTGGGGGCGCCATCGGTCACCTGGCCTGTTCCTTCTCCGTAAGAGATAGCAGCTTTGACAACAACGAGGGCTCCACCTTTGGCGGTGCCGTGGCCGCCGGTGACCTGCGCCGAAGGAACTCCACAACGCCAAGTCTCGCCCTGTCGGGGTGCAGTTTTACGAGCAACCGGGCGCGTGTGTACGACGGCGGCGCCCTGTTTACACAGGATATGAAGACAGCGGTGTCCAATTCGAGATTTACCGGGAATCAAGCGGGACGCAATGGCGGCGCAGTGGTGAGCGGTCTAAAGCTGTAGCGCTGCATAGCACGTTTCTGTATATTATATGAGGTAAAGAAACATAAGGGTTGAGTTCACGCACGGAGCTTGTCCCGGTGTATTAGACTCGAAAGCATTTTGGCGTGGCGGTGTATAACAATACACTATATCCGCCACAGCGAAGTAGCACCTGGTGAAGCACGGAAGAAGCGTGGGGATGAGGGCCATGTCTTTTGGCTGAACCTCACCTCACCACTGGCTCGGTCCCCTCGCTCGTGGCTGGCCGTTCGGGTCAAAACCCCTGCATTCCCAACGCTCCTTCGAGCACAGATAACTATGCTTCTATTACTCTGCACACTAACTACGCTTGAACGTTCCCATGCACACTTCCTCGTTTACACATGCGCGTATACCAGGCTCTTCTGAACAACGCCGATAGCAGCCTGTGGACGTGTGTGTTGGTGGGCAATCGTGCTGAACAACACGGTGGCGGCTCGTACATTTTCGGCAATACACTACTGACCGTTATGGACAGCGGGTTTCGGGACAATTCCGCACTTGTGTCCGGCGGGGCTCTGAGTGTCCTCGAATCCAAATGCGTTCTTACCGTGCGCACGGCCTTCAGAAGCAATCACGCTGGAACGCGTGGAGGCGCTTTGCAGCTTCAGCCCGCTTCACCAGCTTATTTTGGCGGTGGTCATGGCAATGGCACTCAGCTTGCACTTTCAACAGATGACATGGGGCCCGAAGACGCCGACACCTGCATCTCGTACTTCCTGAGCCAAGTCATGTCTCTGGCAACTAGCCGCAGTCTACTGCACCTGGGCCTGTCGAGTTCGCCAGTACCATTGTACAACGCCACCTTGGCTTATGAGGACACGTCCCCGTCCGTGTCGTACATGAAGCTGTTCGGCCTCGGTAACAGGTCAGCATTGCTGCCCGTGCGGTTTCTCATTGATGATGACGTAAGTGTCGTACCCGGGCCTGGATCTGTCGTACAACTCGCACCCGGAAGCTCCCTTGCAATGGCAAACTGGGCGCAGCTGCGGCTGCAGGCCGACGGTCGTGGCCGTACACAGCTATACTTCCTTAACAGCAGCTTCGATATACAAGTTGAAGGGGCGGTGGTGGGTCTTGCCGCCAACAGCGCTATAACGCAGCTGAAAGGCAACATGCGGATGCTACCTTCTGGCGACAGTCTTGCAGTCATTGGGGAGAAGTGGGTCATCGGCGCCAACCCGGGCATTTTGATGCCCGATGCCAATGGTACCCTAATTGCGTTGTCCGCCGTACTGTCGTACAAAGGCTCCGCCACGATGCCGGACGGCAGGACTCTCAAATTCACTCACTGGAACCGCTGCATCCTCAGGAGCTCCGGCGGTGCCTCCTTTTTGCTAGACGCCTTCGATGGTTCGACTTACAGCCTGTCCAACGGTACGACAAAGATTCAGCTTGCTAACGGCAGTCCTCTCCTCAGCCATGATGCCGGCTCCCTCCTTGTGGGAGCCGCGGCAACGGCTAACATTCGTGTTGTGAATCGTGGTCGAGGCTGGCAACTCGATAACAGCACGACACTGCAGGCGAACGGCAGCCGGGCAGCTATATCGATCATTCCAGCAAGCGGCAGCGATATCCGAGTGGCCACTGGCACCGTTCTATCCGTGGATGCCTGGGCGCCGTACACCTTAAGTTATCAATACAATGTATGTATACGTCTGCAGTACCGGGGGAGCAGGGGCTGGATCGATTTGGGGCCTGGTGTTCGCATTTACTTGAGCAGGGGCAGTGCCATTCTTCTTCCAATCTACACCTCACAAGTCCTGCCGAGCGGTACCATCCTGACCACTCAGGGTTCAGCTTGGGATCTGAGCGGCAGCAGTCCTAGGACAACGCACCGCGCAGGGGGCAGCAACAGCATTGCCCTTAACATTGTACTGCCAGCCGGAAGCACTTTCCAAGTCTCGCCAGAGAACAACAAGGTTACCGTACAGCACTGGAACCGCTACGTACTTTGGGCAGGTCCCATGGGCACATTTCTGTACGACGCGAACGGCACGGCGGTTGGTGGCAACGGCAGCGGTGGTAACGGCAGCGGGGGCCCCACGGTGACCATGCTGACGGATGTGGCGGAGGTGCAGCTCTCACGTGCAACACCACTTACAACGCAGTATCAGGGTACGATGAAAGTGGCGATGCAAGATGAGACGCTGACGATAAGTAACTCGACAATCTGGTTGTTCAGCAACAGCGCCAATCCCCCCTACAGCGTGACTGTTCTGGCACGCACTGCCATCCTCGCCCCAAGATCCATCGTAATCCTGCCTAACAGCACATTCATGGTGATCCAGGAGTGGTACCGCTATATGCTGATATCCGGCTACACTGGCACGTGCCTGTACGACACTGCTACAGGCGTCGTCACTGCCGCCCTGCAACCTACCGACAGCATGACCGTCAATGTCTCTCGCGGGACTATGGTTGTCGTACACGATAGCTTTACAGTTGTTTCGTATGAGAACGATTATATCGTACGGGTTAATGCCCAGAGAAAGTTGCGGGTTGCAACCGACGACCATGAGGATGGCTTGACTAATGAAGATAATAAGGAGTACGGCCCGTACGTTCAAGTCATCGCGATGCCGGCTGAAGGCAGCTCTTTGTCATACGACGGAAAACTACTGCCTCCTAACATCACTGATTCAACGTGGCTGATCGGGCTTCGGGGCGATGACGTGCCGACGCGCTTCGTCCCATGGATTGGTGCCAACGGCTCATACTTGTACGACGTTGCGACACGCGTCAATTTCCGGTTGGCAGAAGGCTCTTCACTGAGCTTAGCCGGTAACAGCAGCCTTCTTGTACACGACAGTGGTACGACAGTACTCCGTACGGACACCAACTTGACGGTGACTTCGGGCGGTGCATGGTCGCTGAGTGATGGTACGGCATTTTCTACCCAGAATGGAACTATAGGCCTATCGGCGTCGCCTGTAGGCACTAGCCGCATATTGTACAGCAGAACAGGATTACAGTTGACAGTTGCAGCTGATGATCCGCAGCGGTACACTCTGCTGGCTGGCGTCAGTGGTACGACATTGTACGACAAATTACTTGGCGCGAGCTACCTGCTAGCAGACAACTCTACACTGATGCTGACTAATGACAGCACGTCGTACACTCGAGGCAACAATGAAAAACCGTTGGGCGCCGAAACCAAGCTGACCGTACAGTCTCGAGGGCGTCGGTGGGCGCTAAGTTACGGTACGGAAATCTCCCCCGGGAACGGCACCGGCAGTACGACTGAGTCCGAGATGCGGCTGCACGTGAACTCCCTGGAGCCAGTGGAGGGGGAGATCGGCCGGCTGTGTTCAGTGGATCTGAGTGCGGCTACCTACACACCCGATCCGTACATGTACGACTACGCCGCAGCGCGGGTAAGGGAAGATCTGTAACAATATTAGCACTCTTCAGCCCGAACGGTGGCGTGTGTTAAGGGTGTGTGTACGTGTTATGGGTTTCCCCTGGCCTTTGCACCTCCTACCCCTAAGTGAGCAGGTTTCTGGCTGTGAGGTATAAGCTGTAATGGGCCGCAGGTGAACTACCACAAAGTTATGCTTTTCCCTGGCTTTTCATGCTGACTAGACAATCCGTGCCCCAAGCTGCACCTCTCCTTTCTGTGGCTGTGTCTCTTTCCTTTCATCGTCCAGGCGGCAGCCGAATGTTTCCATATTCGTTTGATAAAAAGCGTGAGATCCTGACCACTAGGCACTGGTGGGCCGATGCCGACGTAAAGCTGGCAGTATTGCTGCTGTAAGACCAATCTACCCTTCCCTTCCCGTGCCTTAGATAGACGGCTTTCTCAGCAGGGCAGTCTCTGTTGGAGGCTGCTTTCACTTCAAGGGCCTGCCTTTCTCTCCTCCTTAAGCTTGCCTCCACTTCATGAGATATCTAATTGGTATTGGCTTAAGCTTGGTAACGGCATGAGTGCATCCTGATGGTCCTTTTTTTCCTTCCTTCAGACAGCTCCTGTGGACTTGTGGACTTTCCTAGATACAAAATGTGTGTATGTATGTATGTATGTATGTATGTATGTATGTATGTATGTATGTATGTATGTATGTATGTATGTATGTGTGTTACACCTCCTGAAGTTGCGTTACTCTCCGAGGCGTGAGGGGCCCTATACGAGTCCTCAGGGGTCCCAAGGACAGTCAAGGGCTGTCCAGAATGATACGCCTGACCTACCCGCACCCTTACCCTGGAAAAAAGCAGGACTTCCTAAACCGTATCAATGCATCGGAGTTAAATAGACTCGACCTCTACGCAAAATTTGCTAGTGCCGCGTACGGCTACGATGCCAACATCGACACCCGCGGCTACAACGCCTCGTTGTTACTGCCAGCTTACAGCGCGCCGTGGGACCCGCTGCTGGGTCGCCCGACCAGCGCCGTCGTACAATGTAAAGCAATAGCTGCACCAGACTCACCGGCGCGCAATGTCAGCATATTCCAGATTGGTCTGACGTTTGTGAACAACTCAGCGGGTGCCATGGGCGGCGGATTGTACATCTATGGCCCCGTGGACAACGTACTGCTGGACGGCTTTGAGGTACGGCAATGTGTTTATCAGCTTGCGCTGTACATCGTGAGTGCGTTGACAGTACATTCATTCACTATGGACTATCGCGTGAGATACAATATATATGAAGTATGTGTGGAAGTATTTTATGTATTGATCACTCGCGCCGACATTTCGGGCGTATATGTACCACAATGCGGTGCTTGGGCCTCCTGCGCTATGCCAATGCATGGCCCATGGCGTAGGGCGTGCATCATGAACGATGCCAGTAATGCTATGTGGCCATTTGTTGGTAGGAGCTGCTGCAACGTCGTGTCTGAAGCTTGCCTTGTTGCCCCATTAACCTTACTCCAACAACATACCCCCCGAGCATGGACATCCACTTGCATCGTGAATGTGTTGCACGACGCAACACCGTCCCATTTCCTCGCGCCTTCTTTCCCCCCACTCTTTCTACCTGCCTGGTATAAGATGGAGAAAAACGTCTTACTGGATGGAAAGAGCAGCAACTTGGCGGTTCAAGATGACACGCAGCTTCAGGTGAGGGTAAGGTGTATTATTATGGCTGAAGCCCCCCCCTGGGCCCCTCGGCTGTGGATTTCGTTCTCTCGGAGGTCTGGGAGACCATCGGATTTGTTAACTTGCAACCTAGTGGGGTTCATGCATGGCGTTGACACTTCCTGACGCTGCGGCCTTCAGCCCGCCCTGACCGCGCGCATAACACTCGCACTTATCGTGAATTATCACGACCCACTCGCATACATTGCGAGTGGAGATTCCGAAGTAGGCCACTTCAACGCGGTCTGCTATGTGTACAAAATAAAGCAGGTAAACATTTTATTAGTGGACTTAGAGCCTTTCTGTTAGAATGAGAATTTGTGACCACAGGATTGCAGGCTCGATTCCGGGTCGGGACACGATTTGCTTGTTAAGGGAGGGTCCGCCCCAGGGTATAGGTAGCGGCCATATATCTCGGTTTATTGCATGCATAGCCCAAGATGTGAGCCTTAAGGCACCTGAGGGGATGCCTGAGGGCCTGCTGGGTAAACACCCAACAACCGCATGACAGAGGACGGTTTCGGGAGACAGGCAGCTAACAGGGATAGGGGCCGCGTGCAGGCGGAGGTGCAGCTGCGAGGACAAAATACTGGTAACAAATATCGACACCCAAACCTTTCATCGCTTGTATCCTGAACACATCGTCCTTGAGTAAACTATATACCTTGTGACAGCATCCCATCCGTTCGTGATATACATTACCAACCAGCCATTCGTCGTCATTTGCAATCATCCGTGCAAGCAGGTGAAAGCGCTGGCTGGTAGCTTGAACCTGCCGCCCTGCAGAATTGGGGAGGTACCCATCGATAACGGCTACATGTGCAAGAAGTGCGATCAGAACACATACAGCCGACGGGAGGTATGTGTACGAGTGTACGGCAGACTGTCCTGCAAATAGGAGGCATTGTTTAGCTAACATTTGCAGCGGTGCCTTTAACTATAGGGGATGTTTGTTAGCTGCTGCCGTTGTACAGCTAGGCTGTGCTATATCGTCCTACTGCGTCTATGCTGGCGGCACCTCCGCCTATTTGCACGGCTGTCGTTACGACTGCACATTATCTTGGTATTTTTGTTACGAAGCTATGATATCACTGGTGCTACTGTTACAGCAGCCAATCCTATTTGTACTCCTATGTTAAGTGGCCGCTACTGCGATTAATCATGCTGTTCATCGCTCTATTCCGCAGCTAGTGCATGCTGTTGGTGTCGTTGGCAGTATTGTAAATATGTGGTTGCTTTGAAGGTTGCTGCTACTGCAATTGTGTAGGAAGTTTGAGAGGATCTGCCTTTAGTACGAGAGGACCGAGGTGGACGTACCTCTGGTGGACCCTCAAAAAATAATGATAAACTGAGAACAGCCACAATAGATAAATAATTAAAAAACTAAAAATTACAAATTAAATTAAAAATTACAAGGCTTTCAGGAGAGAATAATAAATTATATAAACTGTTGTTACTGCTGCTTCTGTTGCTGCTGCTGCCGCTCCGGCTGCAGTTCAACTACAGCAACGGCAACAACAACAGCAACATTGATAAAAACAACAATTATATCTGCCAGCCCTGCCCCAACAACGCTGAGTGTCCGGGGGGCGCTGTGGTAGTGGCGCAGCAAGGCTACTGGCAGAGCGCCGCAAACTCCACTTTCATGAACGCATGCCCCAACCCTGAGGCCTGCCGCGAGGGCGACAATGGCGCACAGGTATGGTAGTGGCAGCACTCGTGTTGCTTCACTTTTCACTGTCAGCCAGCAGTTGGTGCTGTTCATCAAGCTTCGAGGAGGATGTACAATGCGAATAATGCAGAGCAAGCGCCGTATTCTGCCTTTTGAAACATGTGCAACCTGGTGTTTGGCCGTACATGCCGTACGGCGGTTGAAGTGGGTAGGCGAGACGTGTAAATAAAAAAACATGCTGAGCATGACGTGACGCAAAGCGCGCGCACCTCCTGGGATGCAACAAGGTGCCTGCTGCATCTGCACCAGCTCCGCGCAATCTGTGCCGCACCCAAAGCGTGTCCCCTTTCCTAAGTCTCGTTCCAGTTTCTCATACTGCATCTCTGTTTAACTTCTAACACCGCTCCGGGGCTCCCTACGCTGCCTTGCGACGGCGGCGGCGATGGTGCACAGGATGCACTAATCGCTTGCCAGGAGTGGCAGTATTCGCGGCCGTTGGGCTTTGACTTCCAGGCGCTCATAGACAGGTGCGAGGACACTATTATGGGACGTTCATCGAGACGTGGGCCTTTTGTGTGGTACAGTATGGTATGATGTGTGAAACAGGGGGGTATATCTTCGCCCGTGGCAGCTACCCTGCGAAACCCTTCCTTCCCCGGTATTTCGGGGCACCCTCATCCAGTCACCCTAGTCAACTTCTCAGTGGATTGCTCAGGTTCCGCACCCACCACCAGCATCCAACGGAATCTGCCGGGTCGACAGCGGCCCAACTCCGTTCCTGGTCGGCTCGCAGATTAACCTTATCCCAGGTCACCACCGTCCATCAACAAGGGGCGCAATACCTTCCACCATCGGAAGGATTTTTGACCCTAACGGGTACCGATTCCGAGATCTCCCGGGGGCAATGGTCGCGCGTTACCAGTAGTGCCAAACCCTTGTATGTATGGTATATGTGCTCTGCTCTGCTCTGAAGTGTGTTCTGGTGCATTAGTTCAGTCATGTCTTGCTGTATGTATCTAAGCCCTGCTCTGACACACATCATGCCTTGCTCTGGATTTTTATTACAGTAAGACACAGCTGTGTCTTCGGGTTTTAGGTTTTTAGGTTTTACAGGTTGCTGCAGCTGCCACACATGCCAGGTGAGAGTTGGAACCTGAAGGCCTCGTTTGTCGGTGTTCACTTTATTTCCTCACACAATATTCCGCTGATGTGCTTTCCACGCCGGTCAATGTGATCCCAGGGTGCTGTTGGCCAGCACAGCCTCTGGGAAGGCGGCGAACTCAACGGCCGTCTCACCTGCCAGCAGCGACCCTGGTTGCCTGCTTTGGGGGCTGCCGAACGACCACCCTGCGTCGTACATGCGTAAGCAGTGCGCGAGCGGCTACCAAGGCAACCTGTGTGCCGTGTGCGCCCCCCTGGATGGAGTCATGTACGCATGTGAGTGAGCAATGTATATAGCCTTGAGAGGCAGGACCGTAATGGGGCTCGCACAAGTAGTGCCGGGTAGTGTAGAGGAAGCGATGTACGGAGCTTAGAGCGATCGACTAAACGACGATGTGGAAAAAGACTAAGGAAATGCATGCATGTTTGAAAGCTACAGATGATGTAAAGGTTGGCAACACACCGAAGGCTAGCGCCTTATATATGGTCCCCCCCTCCGGTTATCCCCTTCGTTGGCCCTTCAGTTTCTAGGGAATAGCTAGCCGCAGTTGTTCAGGAGGTCTCTGACGGTTGGCGGTGATGTATGTGCATACAGATGTACCCGTATGCCCCTCCCTTGACCACGCTCCCTTGATCCACATGTGAAATGGTTCGGCTTTTGCCGTACAAATAATGCTCAATCAGCTGAAGGCGATTTCAAGTGTGAGAAGTGCTACAGCCCCGGCTCGACCACAGTCATAGCCGTGCTAGGCTTCGTAGGCAATGTTGTCGCTGTGCTGGTCACGCTGGCCCTGACCTTCATGACGGACTACACCGACGGCGAGAATGTAGGCCTGGGCAACTTGGCCAAGGTACGGATGGATTGGCGTGGGTGGAAGAAATGAACTTTTAGTTAGGCCGGCAATGCGGTTGGAACCGTTGGGGCGGTTAGGGCGCTTGTATGTGGCGGGGTTGCAAGGCGAACGTGAATGGTGGTTGTGGTGGATGCGTCTCATCCAAATCATGTCCAGCACTATTTATATTACTTAGGATTTTGTTAGTAATCTAATGCGGTATCCTGGTATGCGCTTCATCTCACAGGTCATCGTAGTTCTAGGTTATTGGGGACGCATCGTCCAAGCCTGACGGCCTTCCTCCACTCTTCCGCGGATAAAATACTCCCGCAGCAGTTCTGAGCCTATGCCGAACCCGTGCATGTTGCTTGTCGAATAGGTACTAATCGTTCACATGCAAATCTTCGTCATCGTGACGCGCACTGGCGTCAATTGGCCCCGCTCTGTCCGTGCTGTCACATCAGTGCTGGCCGCCTTCACGGGTTCCTTCAACAAGGTGTGCGCCCATGGGGACAGGCCCTAGGGGTAGGCCCAGGGCGTTTGCCGTCTGTATGTATATCGCTTCACATATCCTGGACTGGGAGGGCGCAGGGAGCTTTTCAGAGATTCCTAATTTGTCCTTTTAGCGCATGTTCACTATTACACGAAAAATGATAATAAATTTATACCAGGCGTGGCCTTACTGGCGCGCATTACAGAGGTCGTCGTGTGTATCGGCGCCTTATCTCCGCACCACGGATACCATTACATGAACATCCAACCCACACAGGTCTATCCTCCGAGCTGCATGCTGGATGCGGCCGCCAGCCCCGAGACCGCAGCCACTGTAAACCAGCTGGTCGCCATCGTGACACCACTTGTCACCATCCTTACCGTGGCGGCGTTGTGGCTGCTCGTTCGGTAAGGGAAGGAAGGAAGGATAGGATGCGCAGTTGTCCCTCCCCTAGCTTGTGGCTCCTATGCTCTTGGGCCTCTGACTCATATGGGTACTTGTTACACCTCTCTGGGTAACGCAACCGAGGTGCAACACATGCACATGCACACGCGCACGCGCACGCACACGCACACGCACACGCACACGCACACGCACACGCGCACGCACACGCACACGCACACGCACACGCACACGCACACGCACACGCACACGCACACGCACACGCACACGCACACGCACACGCACACGCACACGCACACGCACACGCACACGCACACGCACACGCACACGCACACGCACACGCACACGCACACGCACACGCACACGCACACGCACACGCACACGCACACGCACACGCACACGCACACGCACACGCACACGCACACGCACACGCACACGCACACGCACACGCACACGCACACGCACACGCACACGCACACGCACACGCACACGCACACGCACACGCACACGCACACGCACACGCACACGCACACGCACACGCACACGCACACGCACACGCACACGCACACGCACACGCACAGACATGCACACATAGGCATGAACGCGTGCATCTGTACAAAGGTTACGACGCGCGGCGCGCCTGGGACCTATCCTGAGGGGGTGTAAAGCATATCAACTGAGCTGTTGCCCCATCCACATGCGTTGCAGGTTGACCTTCAAATTCTGGGGCACCTGCAACACCAACAAGGGCCAGCAGGTGATCAATGTGGGATGGTGCAGGGTGGTGTCTGGGGGACGGGGTCGAGTGTCGAGTGGCTTGCCGAGTTGGCCAACGGCGGGACATCCAACCGTAGATTCGTATGAGGAAAATAAGAACCCTAAGAAATACCTGACAGTTTTCTAAGCGAAGCGTTGAAAACTAAGGTTTTCTGCGAATACGGAGTGTCTTTGCCGTATGGCGTACGAGCCAGTGTGGCTCTTGTGTCGCGGCACGCGACAGTGTTGGCTAATTCGGGTTGTTCGTAGCTACGTTTGGGTGCTGCCGTGAAGCGGTTGGTCTGTCGGCCTTGGTGATCCGCTTCGTGGTAGTGTGCCCTCACCCGGCCCTACCCGTGGTAGTGTGCCCTCACCCGGCCCTACCCTTTCACGAAGACGTTCTTCCCTTGCGTGCAGGTACTTGTTTTTAACGTAGTCTTCGCATGAAAACCATAACTTTACTGCGCAAGTAACCCCATTAACAGGCTTAGAACATCGCCAGCTTTGCCACCATGCCTTAGAGTCACGTTTGGCAAAATGTGGAAAAGCGTTAAGATACTGCTGTTGACATCTTGTTGTTGGTCAAGATATTACTGTGCCGGGATCGAATCCGATCCTCAGCATTTTTAGCTTTCTTTTCGGGCGGAGTTTTGAATTGTGTCCACGACACTTTCCCGTGGAAACCCCGCGGCCCTGAAGGCCAGGACAGATGGGACGGCTGGCGGTCTGGACTCCTCGTGCGACATGCTTAGCGGACGTGGACAGCAGGGGCCGGCCGCCTTCACCAACTTGCGAACTACGGGCCCATTCCCCGTGAGCGCCTTTTCCGTTGGCGCCAGCTCGGCCATGGCGGGAGGTGGCAGCTATGGGATGCCCAATCCGCCAAGGCCACCACGGTAAGAAGACTACAGCCCGCGCGGCAGGGAGGGAGACCGCAACCTGAAGTAAAGTTCCTTCTCCTAAATGAAGTCCCAAACGAAATCCCAAATGGGGCTGCTGGGAAAGCGGTATATTATCATGTGGTCCATATAAATGGCCTGTGGCCGTGCCCATGTTCAACCTGCGAAAAGGGGTTATACTAGTAGCCTAGATAGGCATCATGTTTGGCAGGCCGCACCTACGGTCGTTTACGGATATGCATCTTGCCAGCTAAGATAAGGGACCCTACGTAGCTGGAAGCCTTGGATGAGCCTTAGGGAACCGTAAATCCCAAAACCCTTTCATTTCCCCATGCCTTCCCCAATGCCTCATTGCTTTCACAACCCTTAACCAGATAGGGAGGTGATAGGAGGGGGTCCAGGGTGTTTATGGGGGCCCCCGGAAACAGGTTCATCAGTGCACCCATGCGTTTCGGTGCACAGACACACAGATCACTTTTGCTCTGTGCTTTTGTCCCGTCCCATGGAAACGTTTGACAGGAACACCGGAAGCAGTAGCGTTGACATGCCTTCCCTGCATCCGGACACACGGAACATGGCGGCTGACCTCGCCATCGCCGGCAGCATTCCCACGCTAGCGCCCCCCGCGCCAGGACAGAGGTCCAAGGGGTTTCTGCCGCTGCCGCCGCTGGTCACTGAGCTGTCGCCTATGCCGCCACCGCGGGCACCGCCGCCTGCTCCAGCGCCCCCACAGGCACCGCCGCCGCCACCACCGCCTCCACCGCCGCCGCCGCCACCGCCGGACTACGTGCCACCGCCAACTCCAACGCAGAATGACGCAGCGCGCGTGATGACGGCTGTGACCAGTGCGATATACGACCGACCAAGCCCCGACCGTTCACTGGTTTCAGGTGCAGCAGAAACTGTTGCCGGTTTGAGTCCTGACCACTCCAGGTACCCGAGCATCCGGCCACAGGATATGCTCGGTCCTTTCCCCAGCACCGTTTCCGAGCCGGCGATGGGAACGTCGACTCAGCCATCCCGTAACTTAACACACTATGCGTCATGCCCCGCGCCGCAATCCGCACCTTGGGCCATGCAAGGCGGCAGCGCACATGCAGGCTCCCGCTCCCGCGTTACCAGGGTCCCTGCACCCCCCCCTGTAGCTGAGGACTCAGGGCCCGTCGTGTTTTCTGAGCTGCCTCTGCGGCCAGACGTCGCGGGCGCCAGTACCAATGCCGGGGCTCAGTCCGGGATGGGCATCTCTTCCAATGCCAGCCAGTCTGTACAACCCGTCATAACCAGCGGCGCTATGGACGTCGTACACGGGAAAGGACAAGAAAGATCTGAGAGCCCGAAGAAGTCGGGAGTTCCAGAGGGTGGCAGCACTGGCAGTAGCGGCAACAGTCCTAACGCCTCGGAGGGCACCATGCGCCGTAAGCTGACGGGAGGCAGCGCCTGGCTGAAGAGCCTTTTCACCAAGGATGATGCAGCTCCCAGAAAGGACAACAAGGTGTGTGTGTGGCTAGCTTTAATGTTATGCGTGCATGTGCGTGTGCGTGTGCGTGTGTTGCACCTCGGTTGCGTTACCCAGAAAGGTGTCACGAGCCCATACGAGCCAGCAGAGGCCCAAAAGCCTAGAAGCCACAAACTAGATTTATGTGTGTGTGTGTGTGTGCTACAGCTTGAGCTGCGCTATCCTCCGATGGTGTCTCGTGGTGTTGTGGGGTCTGATGGTGTGGTGTCGCAAGCGTTTGGAAGCACGATCATGCATGATGCATGATGATGGATGATGGATGATGATGCATGATGATGCATGATGATGCATGATGATCATGGGGGATTTCTAGGGTTGCTTAGGGCCCTCCCTGTCTAGCGAAGTGGCCGTGGGAGATGGGCGATAGTGTGTCGACTGGTCGCAGCGGGTCGCACCTAGAACTGCTTGTGGAGCAGTACCCCCTTCAACATTCCCATGTAAGTCGCACCTAATCGAGTTTCACCACCATTGCTGTCGTCCACGTCATCGCCTTCATTACTTTTCGCTGGGCTCGTGTGGGCCCTCCGTTACACCGCGATAGGATAGAGCAACTGGAGGCCCTCCCTACCCGCACACCATTAACCCAATCACCCACTTCAGGTTCGTGGGGAGCTGCAAAGTAGCATCCATCAGACCGTGGCCTTATGGCGTCAGGTGCTGCTGGTCGTCATGGTCGCTTGCTTCGTGCTCTACCCTGCGTGGGTACAGGTGCGGTGCACGATGTACAATGTACAGCGTACGTTTTTATTGTACACGTTGCATATTAATGCGCTTACGCCTGACGGAGTGGTATATATGAAGTATCGATACTTCTCAACGAAGATCAATTTCTATTCATTCCATACTTTCATTTGCCGTCCGTATCTTACACTTACTTGACGATGTACGACACGCTGCGGACACCAAGTTCCCGTACAGAGTTTTAGGTCCCTCACTGTTACATGAGTTCTTTGTACTCGCTGCTCGGTTGTGTATTGGTGGTCTGACGACAGCGGGTGCTCCGAAACCCTGGGTGCAGTACCATATGGGGCTCAAATAAAGCAAAATTTTACCTGCTGCTACTGCTTCTGGCTAATGCTACTGCCTCTGCCACTGCTACTGATGCCTCCTATCCATTCGTATGCTCTCTATGCACACCAAGCTCTTGGGGACGGCCGTTGTCATCTTCATGCGTAATCTGCTAATGGCCAAGCCGCGAAACCCTCTTCCTCTCCATGCCTATACAGGCCACACTCCAGATCTTCAGCTGCTACAGGCTCGACGAGTACGTCAGCGCGTCCTACTGGATTATCAATATGAACCAGATGTGCTTCGAAGGTATGAAACTTGTACGGCGGTACAGACGAGGTAGTACAGACGTGCGGATGGAAGGGTTACATGTACCCCGTGTTGAGAACTAGGAACTAGGAGCTAGGAACTAGAAAAGTGGTTTTTATTTTGTTTTTAATTTTGTTTATGTTATCTACTTTTATCTATTTGGATAGCCTTCGGCCCCCTGGCCCTTGTGTCCCTGCACGGCTCGTAAGGGTCCTCCTTAATGCGCCTTTGGAGGGTATTCGCTATTCAAGGTGTAAAACGCATACATGCATACATGCAGACATACGTATGATCGGCAGCAGGTGGAGAATTAAGGGAAAACAGACTTGAGCTGGGCCCAGTCCTGTCGCCTGGGGGGTCACGTACCCCTCGTACTGCAATGGTTCTTATTAAAGTCATATTACTCAATGGTTCTTATTAAAGTGCTGTGCAGCACAACGGCTGGGCAAGGACTGGTTCCCTGAAGCACAACGAACAACTAACTAGCGAAAACTAGTTTAACCTAGTTACGAGTCCATGATAATGCCACGTCTCTCGGCGCCGTACCATGAGCTCTCGCATGTCCACGTGTGTACGCAGGTGATCATGCACGTATCTGGGTGCCCATTGGCGCTTTCGGCATCGTCTTTGTCTGCTTCGGCATCCCTTTCCTCACCTTCATGATGATCTGGCAGAACCGTACGGCACTCGATACCGCGCCTGTCGCGCAGGCGTACGGCTACCTGTACAAGCGCTTTAAGTGAGCTAGGTGGTGGGGTAACGGTTGTCAGCTTACGGTGTTACAGTTATGGCCACTATGTATTTCATGGGACATGCAAATTTGTAGCTATACATTACACAGATGTTCTACATAGATCCGGATCCCCCAGGATTATTACAGGGTGCAGCTGCGGCTTAACGGCCTTGCTAATATTTCATGGGGAACCGAGCAGTCTTAATCCGGCGTTGCCAAATGGTGGAAGGACGAACGCAACCTAATTTGCGCCAGTACGTCTTCGCCCTCGAGCCCGCCCCAGATGGACGAGCCCCTCCCGCACGCAGCTTTGTGCGGAACAAATCGCTGCAAGGAGTGCCCGGTTTTCCGGCCGGTTTGCTACCCAGGGATGCCACTCCAGCAAATGCTTGTTAATATCCTCCTCGCGGCGGTATTTGCTCTCGACGGAGCAGAGCATAACTGGGCTGCCATGCGATTTGGTCGGAAGTGCCCTATACGTGGATCTCCCTTATATAAGTCCTCCAAATCCCTGTCCCTGACCTACTTCATTTCTGTGTGTTGACACCATCTGCAGCTACAAGAAGTTATGGTACTGGGAGGTGATGACGCAGGTTCAGATTCTGCTGTTGGTGGTGGTCAACGTGTTCTGCAGATATGTGCTGGCAGTTTATCAACAGGCCGTGCTTCTGATGGTGGGTCCATTGGTCGCGGTGGGTTGTCATGGGTGGTAGCAAGCAGAGTTGCAGACTTGCCGCGTCTTAACATGACTAGGATTGGACATGCCCATATGTTGCGCAGTCACCTGCTTCTTATCGCCTGTCCATCGTTAGTAGTGAAGCTGGCTTTGTTTGGGCGTATATCGCCAGACGAGGTTCGGCGAAGCTTCTGAAACTCATCACCCCGGCTGCAACTTGAATGACGTTATCTGTTTCCGAGTCCTTCTCCCCTAGATGAAAATCGTTTCCTGGGCAACCACCGCCTCCTCATCTGCACCTCCACACTCGTCCCTTCTCCGGCTTGGTTTTCCTTTTACTTTTACTTTTCCTTCCTGCCCCTGCCTCTCGTTAAGGGTCCCTGTAATTCCCTCATCATGGCATTCATCTCACACCGTCCTTGCAGATCGGCTTGATGCTGATGATGGTCATGAACTTGTACTTCCAGCCGTTGAAGCACAAGCTCCTGGAGCACATGTCCAGTCTTTCCCTGGCGGTGTTGAGCTTCACAGTGGCCCTGGGACTGTTCTTCGTGCCACCGACGGACCGCAAGGACCCGGTCACAGCGGTGAGCCAGGGGAACGGGGAAGGGGAGGGTAGCAGATTTGCAGGGCAGGGGCTGGGGGGCGTGGCTTGATGGACACAGAGCAGGGTGAGATGTGGGAGGACGCACAATAGGTGTAGGGAAGGAGACGGCAAATAGTTGCGCTCAATAGCCGTCTTTGTTAGTTGGCATTTAGGTATGGCTGTAAGAGGCAGCGCAGGCGGGGCCCTCTGCAGGATGTCGATGCTGGCGGCTGCATGTCGACGACGCTGGTGAAGCTGTTAGATGACGGACAGATCCCGCAGCATAATCTAAGCATACCAAAGCATACACACATTCCTACTTTTCTTTTTTGGCACGTCGCATACACTGTAATATGTAGTATGTCGTACAACAATATGCGTTGCTGTACGCTTTCTACGTCCCGTTCCAGGCTCCAACTAGAGCAACCGGCGCGACCATCCTGATTCTCAACGGCGGATTGCTGCTTTACTTCCTGCGCATCATTTTGGAACATGTAAGTCATCGTACTCCATAAGACGCCTGTTAGAAACACTTTGTTAGAAACCTTTGTGGTGGTGCTGGTAAGGCGCGCAAGGTTTGCAAGCTTCCAAAGAACTCCCTTATAACCGCCGCCTCCTGGGTCCTGCGGGAAGGTGTGGGCTTATCGAAGTGACGTTGAGGATGTGGGCGACGTGTGCGAAGCAGGAGGCAGGAGGCAGGAAACTTTTAACACTGGGATTCCGCACGCCGTAACGGACGGCCACTCGGTTGCTGTGTACAGTGCGGTTCATCATCCGGAAGATGAGACAATGCTAGTAAAGACCTGGATTCTCTTGTCGAGAGGGTTATTGGGTTGCCTCGGCACCGAGCGCTTTTCGGGGGCTCCGATACTCCGAGTTGTGTACAGCACCGTACAGTACAGCTCACGAATAACCGTACGTCACACTCCCCCCTGAGACTCCGCAGGGAAACGGCGCTATGAAGAAGAAGCTGGAAGCTGCCCAACAGCAGGCAATTGCAGCTTGCACCAAGGCCGGCACGACTCTTTGGAACCTCCTAATGTCAGGTAACGTGTTTATATGGATCTGGAAATGTGTGTCACACGCTCTTTTGATCTTCACCGCCCTCCCCCATGATCTTCACTTTATCCTCGTTCCCATTCTTTTGCCTCTTCGCAGCTTCGCAAAAGCTTTGGGACCGGACCTCCTGGAGCCTGTTGCCATCGTCGGGCAAGACTCGGACGAAGCGCAGGAGAGGCGGTGCACCTCAGGTGCCGCCGCCGCGCTCGCAATAAGGGCGACCGCGACCGGGACCAGGACCGGGCTAGGAAGGGAAGGGAAGGGAAGGGAGAACCTAAGACGGAAGGAACTGAGCCAGGTGAATGGCGAGCAATTCGATTGTTTCTCTAGGATTCCTAACTGCTTCAGGTGAGCTGGCTTGGGCGCCGTCGTTTTGGTTCAGAGCACGGTCCACCATAGCGCTGCTGTACTGGCTGGCTGGCTTGGCAGTTGCTGTCAACGTGCTGGTGATACGTGTTGATGATATGTGCTAGCTGCCCAGTGATACGGGTATATATACCGCGTAAGCGTATGCCATGCAGAGGTGAGGCCCTATAGGTAATGCATGCTCGGGATGAAGGCGCTGGGAAAGGCGTCGGGGCGACGGCGTGGGAAAGAAGTCGTGGATCACATACAGGTGGTGGGGGGAAGTCGGTGTATGTATAGGCGCAGCCCCTAGGCTCGGAAAAGAACTGGACGCGCAAGCAGGGGACGGAGAAGCAGAGTTGGTTTTTACGTGGCTTCCGATGTTATAGGTTGGTGTGATTGTCCTTTTGGTTTACATAGCTTCTGTGATGTGGCGCCTGCGTATGAGAGATATCTCCCATGTGGGCGCCAAAATGTCATATGCACGCCTGCAAGGCGAGCATATGCATGGATGTGGCTCTTAAATTTTAGGCAAACACACACTTACTCTGGGAACGCGCTGGCAGCACTAGGACTTGGTCTTCTATGCTCGGATGGAGTGGGCAATAATACTTAAGGACGTTTTTGTTAATTACTATTGATGACGACGGCGTGGCGAAAGCGATGCGGAAGCTGCCCTGGGCCTGGGCCTTGAGGAAAGGTCCGGGGCCATGTGGATGGGATGGGATGATCCGGATGGGTCATTTCAGACTCTTTTCCTCGCCGCACGCAGCAGAGGCGACCACCTAAGGAGACAGCCATTTTTGATTGATTCCGCATGACGTCGTGCGGCTATGCGGTCTTTGTTAAACTTTGAGGTAGATTCATATGCATGCCTTGGAAGTCATGTTGCAGAAGCTGGCAGAAGTCACCTCGCAAGAGGTGTGAAAAGCGCTCCGCCAAGGGCGCGGTGGCGCAGTGATGCATGTACTGGCCTCGTCTTTTTCTTTGTCGCGTTCCTTTTTATTCTCTGCGCATGTACGTCAAAATCTTTTGCGCCTGCGGGAAACTGGCGCGTTAGTACTGGTTGGTTGAGGGTCGAGCGGATGTTGTGGGGTACTGTGGGGCGTTCTACCACATGCCCTCCACAGTCACCACCGTAAACGCATGGCATGACTATGTAGGACGGTACAGAAAGTGTGGCAGGATCGTAACACTTGGAGCGAGGAGATTGGGTTTATTATTTCATGTTTTACAGGCGCTAATGCAGCTAGAACGTTGCTGAGTAAGCTGAGCATGCTACTCGGTATACTCATTTGACAGGCGGACATAATCCCTGCTGTTGCCTAGCCGGACAAGAGACATTTCGTCGTGACGTTGTCGAGCTGATCCGTTTCGCCGACAGGCCCGCTGACTAATCCTTTACGGACGGCATGGTCGTAAGCACAGAAGGAACGTCCAATAGTCCTCCAAAATGTACGCCATGCATGTATGTACTACGAAGAAGGCAGAGATAAAGCCAAGCATATGCAAATCATAAACAGATTAAGAGGGTAATTGTTAAGGCATGGACCATATACTCTCTCCGCCAAACGGTTTTGAAAATTCCGCGGCACAAGACAAACATAGCCCCCACCCCGTGAGAACATATCAACTTCGCACACACACACACACACACACGACCACACATATTGAAAAGACCTCGGGCCATGTTTGTGCTTTTTCCCTCTCCATGCTCTGTCCTAACCTGCACAACCGAACCACCCTGTATCAAAACCCAACCACCCGCACATCGACATCCAAGGAAACGACATCGTTGCGCTTGTGATCAAGCTGGTTCGCCAATTCACGCCCGGCGCAACGCGTGGCCTACCGCAAGAGATAACTTACCACCTAGCAGTCATGGAAACAGGGTCAAGATTGCTGTTGTTGAGGTGTTGGTTCACAACCATTCTTATCTCCGCACCCGAAACACATGTACCCTGAGTTCAGACCCTTCCCCAAAGCAGCTGCCATCGCAGCCTGCTGTTAATCCCGGAATATCATTTGCATAATGACCCGTGGGCCATCTTATGACCCGGCATAACAAGCCATCCTCTGACCAGCTGGAAACCCTCCCCAAGTGACCTGAGTGCTGTTTACCATGAACCCGGGGACCACGACGAGCACCAGGTCCAGCAGAACACCTACGCACGTAATCCCGGGCTACACGGCACCGTATCCCATACATTTCCCTACCCCAAGCGCCCAATCATGACGAGATCCCTGAGCTGCTGCACAGCTCGGGACAACGCTGCACCAGCACGAGCACACTGCGTGACAGCGCTGGCTAGCCCGTGGCAACACTGCACCGCTCGATAACGCTTGCACAGCTAGGGTCAACGCTGCACCAGCACGAGTTCATTTTTACTGTTCCTTCTTGCTGCCGTAGAGGAGGGTATCCCGCTTAAACGGCATGTTGCACATGCACCAAATGGAAGCCAGGGTAAAGTAAAGCAGCAGGATGAAGGAACCGTAGCCTGCCGCCTTCACGGAAAAGAGTTGGGCTTGGGTCTTCTCATCGGCATCCGGGAATGTGGCTGCACATGCACACGAGGATAGGGTTGCGTTGCGACGTCATTCAAGGTGTAAACACACACACTCTCTCTCTCTTGGTGAATACGCGAGTATATCTTACGGATATCTTGGAGATTAAACATTGATTGGCAGGGCTAGGCTGCCGGAGCTCAATACGCGTTTTCCATGTAGCCTATCTATCTCGGACAGCCCTAGACTGGCCCTCGTATGGGCCTTGTCCGGCTCGTATGGGCCGTTACACATTTGGAGAGTAACGCAAACCAAGATGTAACACACAGACACACACACACACACACACGATACGCAACATGCACAAAATTGCACGGCTTTGCTACCCTCAGCCGCCACAGGGAACACGAAACATTATCCGTCGTTAACCCAAGTCGTTAAGAGAGCGACTGCACAACAGAGGTGTTTGCAAGGACAAGGTGTCAGCCATGCGGCAAAAGGAGCTGACATGCAGCACACACCCCTGGGGCGTCTTCATTTCCTTTCCAAGGTTCCCGCTAGGAATCAACTCCCCCCCCCTTGGTGCACAGCTTGGTTCGCAACGAACCGTAGGATCCATAGCAGCATGAGCCAACAAAAGAGCTCCGAAACCCAATCAGCCATACCGCAGAGCACCTTCCCATTCCCGGCCACTAGATACCCAAAAGCCTGCTAAACGTACCTGCTAGCAGCTGCCTGCGCGTCTGGTCCTTCCAGTTAACAAGGCGGGTAAAAGTCGCTGTCTGAGTGGGTCCCTTCTGCATCGCAAGGACCTGCAGCAGAGACAAGCGCCGCGAATCAGTACCCCGCTATGATAGGTCTCCCCTATCATATGACTCGGAGCTCCTTAGCTCCTCGGACGGTACCGTGCCCATGAACTTCCACAAGAAGCCCGATCACCCAACATGACTGTGCTGTGTGCTAAACAGGCCGACTCAACCGCTACGATATGGCCCGGGCCCAATTAGCCCACGGAGCTCAAGCTTGTGAGCCCTGCTTGTGAGCCCTGCGCTGCATACCGATGTTAACATGCGAAATTGCCCACCTGGTACACGGTGTCCCCATCGTAAACGGCGTCGAGGGCCTCCACAGCCCACTTCAGAAGCTTTACCACAGCAGATGTAGCTGCGAAAACCTCGGGCGAGTCCTGACCGTACTTATTAATCAGTGCGTGCATCCCCATAATTGAGATCTCGTACAGTTCCACGTCGTTTTGCTGTACCTTCAGCTCATTCCGCTGCTGGACGGCCGCAAGCTGCCCCTTCAGGCCTGCGTACACGCTGCCCAGTTCGACCGCGAACAGCTTTGCTTCCTGTTGCGACAGATCCAGCGCGCTGAGGTCCAGCTGGGCGTCCTCTGCAGCGCTAGCCAGGTTCTGCTCCACGCATCCCTCCTTGCAGTTCTGCGATCCAGGTCACACCTCATGATCTCTGCCCATGAGGTAGCTGGTCCAAAACCCTGAATTGCCAGTCCTCCTACCTGCACTCCCATCTGGTCAATCACAGCCAGCGTGACGGATGGGTTCGCGGCTGAAACGATGCTGAGACCATCCACAAGCGCCGAAGCAGGACATCCATCGCCAGTCAGCTCCACTGTCCGAAGCGCGCGATGAGCAAAAAGGTCTCCAACTGCGCCTGTGCCACAAAAGCACCTGTATGAGACGCATGATGAAGCTGGCCATGTGCCCTAACCTTCTTACCCGCTGACAGACCCCCAATATTCAGCGTGATAAAAGCCTTAGGCTTTGCCAAGGGACTCGGCTTTAGGATTCCAGCCAGCTGCATAATTAAATTGCGTTAAGTATATGAATTGTATCATATGACTGTAAGTTAAGCACTCGAACCAACCTGCCGGGAGAGGTCCGCGCCGATCACCGAACCTGGCATCAAACCAGTCGTCGCTGCCACTAGCGCAGAAGCTGCATTTTTCTCAAAGGGAACTTCAGGTCCTTGCCGTATGTATACATGCTGAGCACTATCCACAAGCACTAACGGCGTGCTCGCGGCCGCAGCCACGATGCACGCCGCAAGGAGCGGCACAAACACAAAGGACATTCAGTTTCGTGAAAAACAGCAGGCACGAGAATTTGCAAAAAATGGACAAGGAAATGTGCAAAAGCTCTCCTTGTCTGAACAGTATTTGTCGTGCATTTCGTACAGTCGAGTGTGCACGTATGGTAGCCCCATGGGATAATACCCATTACAATCTAAGCCGCTCCCCTTCGACCTAATAAAATCGACCAGTGGAGCACTACTTGGAGGAGTGCCTATGGCAGGTAGCAGGCTCCTCTTCGCAGCGGGGAAGCGACCGAAGGCGATCGCTATTCACCTTAAGGAGTCACATCGTGCTCGTGGCTTTGAAGCTCGTCGTGTGATAGACCCCAATGCTTAGGAGCGCGGGCACTGGCTCAATTAGCATACTTAACTTTGCAGGTGAAGGGTTTGACCGCAGCCACTTGTTTACGAAAAGCAGCTAAGCTAACCCGTGTTCAGCCGTCCTGGTTTCCACCTAAGCGCTGATTCAGAAAGAGCCCGAGCCAATCCTATCCGGTCCTGATTTGCACTTCAGGTTTATAGGGTTTATCGTTATAAACAATACATTCATGGCCTCCATTTCCTTTCGTCGTGTTATTCATTGCTCCAGTACTTGTTCACACGCTTATGGCTTTGCTTCGGAATTCCTGACTCTCACCTATTCAAGACAATGCAAACTGATGCAGTTATATGCCCTTCCGAGCATTCCTGCCTTCCCCTCCCTTCCCAACACATGAGCTACCTGATGGACGTACGGATTACGTTACATCTGACCCCCAGAAGGTCGTCCCGAAAGCATTTTTCCGGAAAGTTATGTGCAGACCGCATTCTCAGCCAGCCCAGCAGAGCGAAAAGACACGTAGCCCTGCTCATGTTCAGCAGCCACCCCATTCAAATCTCCCTACTCTTTCCTCTTCTCCTCCCGTACTACTCCGTTCCTTCCCTACTCCAACCTCCTACACATTCTTTCTCCCCCTCCCATCCTTCAAACTATCCGCTCGAGCTCCTTGGCATATACCAGCGCGTTGTTGATCAGCTCCAGGGAGGGAATGGCCTTGGAGGCTGCCGTACCCTCCGCCGCGGCCGCTCGGAAGACAATGTAGTCATCGGGCGTGATCGTCCATCCGTGCTGCACACAAAATGAAAAAGACAAATGCGCAAAGCCACAAAATGAAAAAGACAAAATGCGCAAAGTCACAAAATGAAAAAGACAAAATGCACAAAGCCACAAACTCATAAAGCTCTGCAACAACAACAACACCATACGCGTGCATCATCATCATCGTCATTCTTAGCAGATGCGACAATCTTGTGCACAGCCTCATCAGTTCCACCACACCGCACTCCACACACAATCCAGACTCGCGGGCTTTCACGGCTGGCAGCATTTACGGTCACGTAGCCCTGCGCCTGGCTCCCCAGGACGCCTGTATCATCTCCCGACCCACGGGTCACAAATCTCTGTCACCCGCCCCGGAGTCACAATAATAGATCCATTTTCTCTGACACTCACCATCTCTGCACGCAATCCCCACTCCCCTTCGCGCACCTCGTTCGCATACTCCCGCACCTCCGCATCGTTGTCAAACAGCAGCAGCTTCTGGGCGTCCGGTACACGCAGCCGCTCGTAGGCCTTCTCACTGCAGCTCGCAGCCTCGTCTCTGCGCGCAATATTTGTGCGTCATATTCCCCCGTCAGTGGGAAACGGTGGGGAACACCACGGGCATATCCACATCCACCGAGAGAGGCCTATCACACCAGCCACGATACGTGATAGGACAGACACAGACAGACAGACACAGACAGATAGAGACACAAACAGACAGACAGACACAGACAGAGACACGAACAGACAGAGACACAAACAGACAGAGACAGACAGACATAGACACAGACAGACCTCCACTGGAACCGCAATCTTAACGCAGCTCTACAGTAACCAAGGACCCACCTGACGGTCGTGGCCAGCTGCGCCAGCAGCATGCCGTGCACCTCCGAAGCGGCCTCGCGGGAGGCCGCCAGTACCTTGTTGTATGCGCCCTCCATCAGCCACTGCTCCAGCTGCACAGGCTGCAAGATGGCTGAATCTTGCTGAGCCTGCGGGAGAGACGTGACAACATACATGTACATCGTGCGCACACACCGCGCGCGTGAATACCAAGTTTGAGCATGTTTTAGTGATTGGAGCCGCGGGCAGGAGCGTGGCATGTGCGCGCGCGCGCACAAGGGGGGGAGCACAGGAGATGACATGCAGAGGCAATCGGTGGGTGGACAGCAGCATGTAGCAGCAGATGTGCGATGTAAAGTGATGATACTGTGAGCTGGACCGCGGCCGAACACACGACCCCCTTACTTTAGTCCCCAACAACACAACTGAAAAACTGTATGCCGCAACGGAATCATATCCTCAACTGCTAGAAGAGTCCGAGAGAAATCCCAGGCGCTTCTCCCAACCCAACAACAGCAACAACCTGCGGCGGGATGAGCTCCAACTCCGTGTGAAACTCGGCGATGCGGTTCTGGACCAGCAATCGCAGCAGGTTGAGGCCCTGCATAGTCACCTCGCTGGGAGAGGCCGGAAGCAGGGCACTGCGGGGCCGCGGCGAGTAGGGGCCAAGGGGGCGAGGAGGAGGGATATGCATGCTGCGTTTCAAACATATACCAGTTGCTAGTGTTGCCATCGTGAGTGGCGTATCAGGGTCATGGGGGCCAAGACAAAACGAAGCTGGCGGCAGGACGAAGCAGAGTGGTGACGCCGTAGGGCAGGGAAGGGCGGGGCGGGGATAGGGTGGGAGTGGTGGAGAGCTGGGCAAGGGGAACTGGGCATCAGGAGGACAGTGGGAAGGGCAGGTAATCGCACCAATGGGAGCAATGCAGTGACCTTGGATGGGCCTGCAAGGCATTAGGTATGACAGCATGCGTTCAGAAAATTTTCGGGCTCCAGGTTGGGGGGGGAATGAAGCGCACCGTGTGTCGTTGTAGTAGGTTCGGAGCTGTGCGAAACTGCGCTCCATGGCGGCCTCATCTTGTTTATGGAGGCTGAGCAGTACCCCCTGCTCCAGCACCTCACCTGCTCGAGGGTTTTGGAGGGCCGTACCAGATGGCAAATTGGCAAGCATGGCGGAGGCTGGAGTTAGCTTAATCACTTAACACCTAGTCAATGGGCCAAAGGAGGCCCCCGGCTAGCCAAGAAAGGGATGTGGGACCGGGTGCAAGCGTTCCCCATGTGTTGCATCCTCTATGTCGCCACCTCCGGGGATAGCACACTTACGCCCTAGTAGCAGTTCCTGCTGTGCCGTTGGAGTTTGTTCAAATGATGGTGGAAGAGCTGGTAGTTGGATAAGTTTAAGCTGCGGGCAATTGGCGTGGGGAGGGCAACGAGGGAGGGAAGGGGGTAAAGGTTGCGAGTATTGGTAGCGCGGCATCAACGCTTTGCTCGAACTGCACCTTTAGCTGGCTAAGCGCGCTGTCTGCGGTGCTCAAGTTATCCTTGCCCAACGCATCCTGCGACCAAGTGGTGCCACCATGAAGCAGGATGGAAAGGGCATCTTCCGATAAGAGCTCCAAGAGAGTTTCCTCAAACCTTCAAGCGTTGGAGCAATAGCGAGGCCTCTTGAAGAGCCATTCAAGGTATGTAAATTACTAGGCAAGAGTGCACCAAAAATCTCGCGCGCGATCTGAAGTGTCTGGACTTATCCTCCAAGTAGACAATACAATTATGACCACAATATTATAACTGATTAGTGTGTTATCATAAAGAATAAGTGTCGATAGCTTGCCATTTCCAAAGTTCCGCGCATCGCCTCATGGTGATGTACTGATACGACGGGACATAAGCTTTCCTGAAAAGGTAATCGTTCCTTTATCCTTCTCGAACTCTACTTGACCACGGGGAATATCGTACGTTGAGCTTTGGCTTGTTATAATACAATTCGGTAGTTGGACAAGCTCTAGCTAGGTCTAGCTCTGATTTAAGGGACCGAGAACCTGAGCATAAGTCAGATAGGCATCACTGCATTGTTTGGACAGGACTTTACCTTGGCACACACGCGTTGCGGCGTGTCGTGAAATCAATCGCTTGACTGCGAATTGCAGCTTTTCGCTGACAGCCTCCGGATCGCATAGAACGGCTTTAATTCATAATGGCACCGCCCACGGGCTTGTTTGGTTGGTTCAGTAGCCTCCTGGACTGGCTCCGTTCTCTCTTCTTCAAAAGGGAGATGGAGCTCAGCTTGGTTGGCCTGAACAAGGGCGGGAAAACTACATTTGTCTCAGTGCTGACCACGGGTCAGTATACGGAGGATATGATTCCCACGGTGAGAGCGCGGACGGGGGCTGAGGCAGAGCCTGCCATAATCACACCCCCTCCGCACGCTTGCAGCCGGATCCTGTCCCGGCGATGCAGTCGCACGATATTGCATACCCAGAAGATGCTCAGCTCCTGCTAAGCGTAAACAATCCCCTCTCTCTAGGAGAACCTTTTTAGCGGTCTCAAGGCCGCAGTGACCTCCTGCCTGCCTTGCGGCTTGCCAACGGACCGCGTTCCATGTCGGAAAGCAACACCGCATACGTCAAATCGCGTGCCAAACTTTATAGTCGTACAAACGTACCGCACGCTGTGCGGTTGAATCTTCCTTCGTCCCGTCGCAGGTTGGCTTCAACATGCGCAAGATGACAAAAGGCGGCGTTACGATAAAGATGTGGGACTTGGGCGGTAAGTGGTCGTACAGGCGAGGGGCTGAGTACCTGGACGTTATGGCTCGGCCATCTCCGCCACCACCGTATTTTACTACCATCACCATCGCCGCCGTCCCACTACTACCACTACCACAAAGCACCACTACAATCACCATCACTACCATCACCACCACTTGCCGCCAGCACACACCAACAACTACCACCACCAGCATTGTCACCACCAATCCCACCAATCCACCCCTCCAGGTCAGCAGCGGTTTCGGAGCCTGTGGGAGCGGTACTGTCGAGGGGTGCAGGCCATCGTGTTCGTGGTTGACGCGGCGGATGCGGACTCAGTGCCAATGGCAGCCAGGGAGCTCCACGCGCTCCTGGAGAGACCCAGTTTGAAGGTAGCGGTGCCCGTATGGGCGGTCGGGATGGGATGCGTATGCATATGGGTGTGAGGGAGAGGGTGGGCTGGGAGAGGGCGGGGTTTGGGAGGGAGGGAAAGAGAGAGAAAGGGCGTATTATTAGGTATTTGGGTTGAGAGCGAGTGAATGGGGTGGCTGTGCATGGGTTGCGTTGTGATGTGAAAAAGCCTGGCATTATAGAGCGCTGCGATATAGGAGGGCGCGGAGGACACATTCCCGTGTGTTGCCTGATTAAGATATTTACAACGATTCAGATTAACAACTCCTCGTCGCTCAGCAGTGTCAGCCTCGAAAGGGTTTTTTAAAAGGGGGGGGGTAGGGTGCCACCCGGCCACATCAGGACGGACTCGCCAGGTCGGATAAGCTGCTACTGCTGCTCAGCTGCTGCTACTGCTACGTGTTAGGTTACAAGTTACAAGTGATGCACTCGAGTGCGGGGACATTCGTGAAAGCGGGGGCGGGGGAGGCCTGGGTCGCTAATTTGTCGCAACTGTTGTGGCGCTGCTATTTGTGGATGTGCTGTTGGGTGCTAATGCTTGCTATGGGTCGTAGGGGGCTGTTGGGTGGCGAATACGACGGTTGTCAACTGTTGTGGATGTGCTATTGCTGCGGCTACTGTTGCTGCTGCTACTTATGTAGGGTATTCCGTTGTTGGTCCTGGGCAACAAGAACGACCTGCCTGGTGCGCTCGGTGTGGAGCAACTCAAGGAGATGATGAACCTGAAGGTGAGAGCTAGCAGTCGCGGTTTGATGGAAGCGTACGGAGCACGACTTGATCATAACAGCGGTTTCATGTGTACGGCGTACGAAACGGGTCTGTGATGGTGGCGGTTTGGTTGTTAGGTGGGGGGGGCTATTCTCAGTCACAACGGTGAGAGGACTGGGTGGGGGGTTTGCTTGGTGTCGCGGGTTTTGATGTGTCCGTGTGTGGCTGTGCGCCGCGCCGTAAAACGTGTCTCGCTCATGCCTCAGTGCCCCCCATGACTTCACATCACACCACCTCGCATGCGACGTTACATCACCACGACATTACGCGCCATGACGTCACTTCGCCTGGTGTGGGGCCGCGTCGTGGATGGATGGTTTACAGAGCTGGAGTCCCAACCCCCAAGATCCTCTTTACCACTACCCGCAACTGCCACAACCGCAACCACTACCCGCAGTGTAGTGCAACCGCGACCCATAACCGCCACGACTACCGTAACTGCCACCCCAACTACCGCAGGCGCTCACCGATCGGGAGGTTTGTGTCTACAGCATCAGCTGCAAGCGACAAAGTAACATCGACGTCACACTGGATTGGCTCACCCGACATGCCAAGGCTTAACTTGGCAGAGGAGGAGGAGGAGGAGGAGTTTGGGTTTAGGGAAGGAGGCGGAAATATGTTGACATCTTATTTATGTCCTCCTTTTTTTTGGAGTGGTTTGGGAGTGTTGCTTTGAGGCTTAGGGGTTGCTTTTCTGCTGATTTTCCTTTTGTCCTTTTCCGTTCGCGTTGTGTTGCGCTGAGTTGCGTTCCGTCGTGTGTCTGTGTGGCTCCTGACACATGGTTTTCTTGGGGCGGTTGGCTGCAGCAAGCCCCCTCCGGCGAGCCGTGTCTGATCGACTCTCAAAAACGCGCATTGATACTCCTGCTGCTCTCGCCTCCTCGGTCTCCCGTCCTAACGCGCGCGCTCCTCTCTCTCTCTCGTCTGTCACTCATCTGTCTGTCTGTCTGTCTGTCTCTGTCCTTTCCCGCCTCATTCCCGCGCGCACATAGAACTGCACATGGTCCGACTCGATGCGGGGCAAGGGTACCTTGTGTATGTGATGTACGTGTGTATGTGATGTACGTGTGTGTGTGATGTACGTGCGTATGTGATGTACGTGTGCGTGTGATGTACGTGTGTATGTGATGTACGTGTGTGTGTGATGTACGTGTGTGTGATGTACGTGTGTATGTGATGTACGTGTGTCTGTGCTCTTTGATGATTGAGCTTGCCTCTCATGAAATCCTTTACCGCTAAGGGAGCTGTCCTGTGAGCGCGTATTTGGTCCGTGAGAGGTCAGAAGCGGAACCCGCTGCGAAAAAATTAAAGTAGAACGGCGCCAGGAAAGCCGAATAGCCATCGGACTGTTCTGAATGGGTTTGCAGGCATTGCGGGGGAGGGAGGGGAGGTAGTTAGGAGGGCGCCTGCGGGAGGGTGAGGAGGAGGAGGTGGCGAAATTATGGGTCTGGAAGGGAGGGATAACCCTTCGTCTTCTTCTTCTCCTTTAGTCCCCCGATTATTGTTACGAGGTTCGTTGTTGAGGGTGAGGCAGTTACGCATAGGCTACCAGGTTGGAGTCCGACGGGGCCCGCGTTGGTTGCAGGAAGTTCGGAGTGGGTTGGTTGGCGTCGTCATGGAATAGTGAGATTACGATGCTCAAGTTGAGGAATGTCGCAAGCGTGATGGTGGGTCTTTTCTTTTTTCCTTAGGGCGCAGCGCAGGCGCGGCCTTGCAGGATGTGGCTGAAGAAGCAAAGAGACTGTGGGGTCGTGCGCAGCAGGAGGACTTGTTGAGGGTTGTGCTCTTTTTTTTAAAGGATTCTGAAGAATGAACTGCACTGTAGTTGGTTTAGCGGGGACTTCATTCACTATCACATCGACAGGGCTTTTTTTTAAAAGGTTTCTTCTTGAAGGTTGATTAGGTTGGCTTAGCGATTTTGGAAATTGGCTTGCTGGGTCGCCGGTTGGTCGTTAGTTGGTTGTTAATAGGGCGGCAAGAGGTTAAGGTTCGTGAGACTGCGAGGGTAAAAGCTGAGTACTTGTGTCTTTCTGTCTTCGGTCACTGCCAAAAACGAAACAAACTGGTTTCTCAAGGAAAATTGCCGTGCAATGGATGCTATGCGCATGTGGAAACGCAGCCAGGCTGTTTTTCCGGGCTTCGGGTTTGCATCGCTTTTATACTACACTGTAACGTACTGCATAACTCCGTCTGTCGGGTTCTCGCAATTGCTGTGTGTGACAAGATGGGGCTAGAACCCGTAAATAAATATTTGCATACGTTCTAACGATGCCCATATCGATTATCTGTATGGTCCGTATGGTCGAAAGACAGGAGAAAATAGAGCTGACCGCTAGGCAGCTGTGCCAGACACCTGACTGAGGTTAAGAACGGAAGGATGGAACGGAGGATGCGGAATTACTACGGTTCCACATGACATCGGCTATTAGAAGTTCAGTGCTTCGCATCGTGAGGTCGTCGACTTACGGCCGTCGACTTTCCTATATAACATGTTGGACGGTATGTTTCATCAGATGCTCAAAGATGTTTCTGAAGGGCGGCAGCAGATCACTATCTGCGAGGTGGCTCTGTTGGCAATTTCGCACAGCTTATCTTCCATGTGCTCAGATTCAAACATCTTTGGAAGCCTAAGAAGCCTTAGATTTCGCTTAATTGCTGATGTATGCCGCCGGGAGTAACCAATCCTGCTGATTCGGAGATTGATTAAAATTACATCTCGAGTGACTAGCCGTATCGCCTGAGATTTACCATCGTATGAGATTGCATGTATGGGAATGGACGTCTGCGTAGTGCGTGCTATCCCCAAGACTGCAACCGAATGTTCGGTTACATAACATCTAATGGCGGGCGAGCTGTCTCATCGCCATGTGCAAATCCTTAGGACGTGCATGGTTACTCATGATAAGCGTAATCCTAGCTATCTGGATTTGATCAAACTGGTACCTCTTAGGTTGATTACATACTGTTGCTGATTACGGTAATAGCAGTGTGGACGCCTTCGGAGTATTCATCTTGCCAGCCTATCAAATAGTATCAGGCTTGCCACGACGCCACTTCTTCTGTGCAGCTTACCTTCACGCCAACAGCAAAGAGCGATACCGCGGTCACACCGTGTCACGCACCAGTCTCAACTAACAGTCTGAACGGACGACACCCTTGTAAGCGGATTTGATTTGATTTGGAACTAGTTTATTACCACGTTATGGATCGCGAGTTATGGAACCTTTGGGCATCCGGCGTGTTACGCAAGCAATGGCTGGCTGCACTTTTGCTGGTGTTGCTATCCTCCGGGAAAATAGCTTCGGGCGCAGGTATGTGGTATCTTTTTTAAGTTTAAGGTTTGATTTGTTAGTTCTGTGCTATCGGACCTTACTTTGCTTGTGTCTGCTGTAACCGGCCCTAAGAAACCCGGCGGCACCCGCACCATCTCAAGCAGCCAGACCTTTTCGGACGGAAAGATGTCATAAAATATTCAGAGGAAAATAATTGCGCTTAATTTTATATTCGTTGCAGTATGCTTGCGGTCTGCCTCTGCTCCAATGCTCCATGTCCGACCATATGCCACAACGCTTTACTGAAATCGGTACATACCAGAAACGTAGATAATGAATAACATATGATGTACTGAATCTTGCAGGTGTTTGCATGTTCCGCCATGTTAACCAGGCCACGGACATGTTTCCATCCGGTCCGGGTACGGCAGATATGACTTGCAAGGGTTGCTATCTGGACATGGACAGGTGCCGCCTTACCTGCAAGAGCGGCTGTCTGTTGCCGAATGGAAGTCGGGGACCCCAGGCCGCACTGAACTTGCGTTCTTGCAATCCGTACACTGACTCCATCGCCGTTACGAGCGATGGGAAGATGAGCTGTGTTAAGTCAACGGGCCGGTGACCATTGACGAGTTGTTTTGGAGGTTGGTTAACTGGGTGACTACGGGTGCTTGATGCTGGTTGCATCACACGAGAGATTGGGGAGTTGGTTCCGTACATTAACGGTTAGCCTCTTATGTGCCTAGCCTTTGGGCCCGTACTAATACTAGATGGGGTGCAAAACTACATACGTGCCTTGCATGCCCGTATGTGGATGTGCGTGTGGATGTGCGTGTGGATGTTCGTGTGGATGTGCGTGTGGATGTGCGTGTGGATGTGCGTGTGGATGTGCGCATTTAGTGTGCGGTCTGTGCGGGTGAGGAGCTGCTGGTATGAGGCGTGGAAGGGGGATTGTTCATTGAGCATTCATGGCGGGGCATTGAGACCGAAGATTTGATGATGAATTGATTGGCTCTGGTGCACAGAGGCATGGCGCGTAGTTGTGTATTTGCATGGGAGAACACGTTTCCGGCTTGGGCATGGTGGCTGAGGTTGTCCGTGGTCATGAATACAATGAACGGTAATTTTTGAATTTCGGCAGGCATGTCCGAACAAGTGCGCATGCTGTTGAGCGCCATGGCATGGTGCACAGCGATTGCACTAGATGCACTTGCCCGCACCGGGTGCGTCTATAGGCCGCACCTTGTGGCTTCAGAGGACTGATGGAAAGTTCTCCTTTGTTTTTCTGAATCGTTTTCTTCGTGCCTTTGGTTATGCTCGTGCGTCTGTGCGTGCTTGCATCCGACGCGTACGGCTGCCACAAACTCATGTTTCGAAGGACTCTGATAATATTGGAAGGATAGGGAGGGACGTCAAATAATATTCTTTCTGCCTGTAAGAACAACGAGCGATGCATGGGCGGCACCGCCTTTCCTTTCCCCCAGGTCACGGTGCCCAACTTCTTTGCTGTAATAATGCACAAGTAGGTGACTGGCGTCAGGTTGCACTCACTGATGCTAGCAGCTGTTGGGATGGCGAACGATGGGGATGCCGTCCTTATAGGGATGGCGTCCATAAAGATGCCGTGCTCCAGGCGAAACGGGCACATTACAATCATTTCAATACTCCTGACGTTAATTGCTGCTGTTGAAAGTTCTTTGAGCGCTTACCGGGCCGGGACCGTTAATTCTGTTGGACAGCAACTTAAATCAGGATGATATCGGGTCTTACGACACGTGCTCGTAAGCATCTTAACAGCAAAACTTGTGTATGAAAACAAAATACAATCGAGTGCAAGAAGCCCTGGTTGAATACTGATTGGACTTGCACCGCCACGGCAGCTCCAAGAGGCTCAACGTGCAGCCTAATGGACTCCGACTCTCACAGCAACGCCACTTGAGACATTTTGGTATAAAGCTTTCATCAAAGGAAACTAATTTTGTGATCAGCAACGCTAAAGACAAGACCTTCTGTCGGAAGGCACGCCGACTTTTGTAGCTCTAACGTAATCGCCATGGTGAGATGTATGTTTACAGTTTTTATTGAACAACACTAAGGACTGCTTTGGCCGCATGCTTACTTCTTTGTGAGCTTTTTCAAGCACCAAGCCGACAAGCTTCCGCCACCCCAACCTGGCCATGGGCTTAAGGGAAAGCAAAGATTCCGCTATGCTGCCTGGATCGGGAACATTTCCTTTTCCAAAGAACACTGATATTCCCCGTGGCAGCAAGAGCTCGACAGTTGCCGACGACATGCCGACATCACGCGCAGTACCAGTACTCCGAGGACCCCTGCCGGATTTTATCAATATCAATATCATCTGGCCGGAAGACAGCTCTCAACCTGCCGTACAGATCCGCCGCGCCATCGCGCTTCACTTGGCGTCCAGTCCCGACAGCCGCCTGGGCCCCCTGCGCGTCCAGTTGCCGAACTTATCTTGGCACTTGCGCCGAAACTACCCTGACTTATGGCTCAACCCGGCGCACAAATGGCCTAAGTTGAAGGTCCTGCTGCTCGACGACGGTAGCAGAAACGCGTTCTTATGTCAGCGAGACGAGGAGGGCCGGGACGTGGTGGTGCTGAACGCCACAGCACTTCAAGCGATGGCGGCGGCGGCGGCGGCGCCGCCAGCGGTGGTAGATCGGGACCCGATGATCCCGAAACCGGCAGCGCAGCGCGGCGACGGGGGCGCCGGAGCCGGCCCCCTGCCAACGATGTCAGGCGAACCCTCCGTACCTTCTGCGGCTGCAGCAGCAGCGGCGGCGCCGCCCGCCGTATCGCTATCGTCGCCACCGCAGCTACCTTCGCCATTACCAGCTCGGCAGCGTCCGTCCGCGCCACGTGCTGCGCGCGCTGCACCGCAGCCGTCGGCATCGCCGCCGACACAAAGCAACGTACACGGCCCTGTCAAGTCGTCAGCCCTGCCGCCAGCCGCGACCTCAGGCCGGGGCCGACCCACGGGTCGGTCTGCCGCGGCAGCGGCAGCTTCCGTCACCGCCGCCGCCAGTGCACCCACCGCCGCACCCACCATCACCATCGCCGCCACTGCAGCTCCTTCCCTGGACCAGGACGAGAAATTCAACGCTGATCTACAGCTCTTAGTACGTCACGCGCTGGTCGCCGACCCGCGCTTCAATGAGCAGCATGTACGGCTGCTACGAGTCACGGCCGTCTGGCTTGCTACCAGCCCTCAGCCCTCCCTAGGGTCGTACAGCGCAACGTTGACCAACATCCGCACCTTCCTCATGAAGGAGCATGCCGGATTCTGGTACGGCACAGATTCCTGGCGGCCGCCTTTGGGGGAACTCTTAAAGAGTCCTGCTGCTCGAGGAATCTTCCAGGTTGGCGGATCCCATCAGCCGGAGGGAAGCATGGGCGAGTTAGTGAGCCTACGTTTGGATGCGCTTCTGCAGGCGGCTGCCATCGGCGGCCGCGGCCGCGGCGGCGCGCCTAAGGCGGCGGCGGCGGCGACGGGCCCGTTGGAGCTGGTGCCTGACCATCGTCCGCTGCATGCGGCTGCTCCACAACAGGCGGTTGCGAGCAAGGAAAAAGAAAAGAAAACGATTTCGAAGGGATCAAACCCACGACCCGTGCAGCTAGGAGTTCTGGTGGCTTCTGAGCGGGTCTTGGAAAAGCAGCAGCGGCCGTTGGTCCTCGAATCCATTACTGATGCCGCAGCAGCAGTAGCAACGAAAGCTTCAAGAGGAGGTCCTGCAGGATCTGGATCGGCGCCGGTATCTCGTACGGCACCTGTACGAACGTCATCAGCGGCCTCGGCGCCGCCGGTGGCGTTGCCATCGTCAGCCTTATCGCCTGGTTTATCCAAGCCGCCGGAAGGGCGTCCAGATGCTGACGTCAGCTCGGATCTATCTGCAGTAGCCGCAGAGACATCGAAAGCTGCAGCTGCGGCAGTAGCAACGAGGAAAGGAACGATGGTGGCGTCGTCGTCGGTATCGGCTGCAGTGGCGGCTGCGGTGGCGGCGGCCTGGCCCGGTAGTGATGCGGTATCGCGCGTGCGCCGGCGGGCGGCGGAGCTGCTGGCGGCGGTGACGGAGGCGGAGACGGATCGCGGCGGCGCTGGCGAGCCTTACACGATGATGATGGTGGGTGGTGGTACAAACGATTCTGCATTCTCTTGGAATTCGGCATTCGGCGTCGATGGCGACGGATTGGCTGACGGATAGCCATGCTACACCCTTGGCGAGAAACATGCAATAGCCATGTGTTGCGTCTTAATCTAATCATTGCACCATTATCCTGGTCCGCCTTACGTAAAGGAAAACCGTTATTTCTGTTATTTTTCGTTGTTCTGTTTTTGTTTTCTTCTCGTTCATGCAGGTTATTATTCGACACTTTTCTAATTGAGTCTTTCTTGTCCTTCGCAAAAAGGATTCAGTATTTTCAGTATTTTCAAAAACTGTTATATGTAACCAGCTATGACATGCTCATCTTATGTTTTCTCCGTACTTCCCCCTTTTCGCTCATCACACATAAAAGACGCGTATGGGCCAGCTGCTTCACGCCTCGGAGGCCGCTGCTCTGACGGAGTGGCGAGCTGCGGCGACTAAGGCGGCTGGGAGCACCAAGCTGGGAAACCTGCTGAACGAGTGTACGATGACTCGTACGGCAGCAGCAGCAGCGCTTCCCGACGCTACTGCTGCTGGCGGTGGCGGAGGAGTCACGGAACGCCGGAGAGCTTATCTGATTGTCGCATGCGGTGTCGTACAATTGGATGTAGAAGCGCTCCTTGCAGACGCCGCTGAGAATGATCGTGAGAAGAGGAAGTACGGTGGCGGCGGCGGCGGCGGCGCCAGTGAAAGCACCGCATCGCCTGGAAGTCCGCCGCCGCCATCATCGCTGGCGTTGCAGGAAGAGGGCAGCTGTGCACCCTGTGAGCCGATAATTCTGGAGGCGGCGGCGGATACTGCTGCTGTTACTAGCGTTGCAGCTCCCGCCGGTACGGCGTCCTGCAGTGCGAAAGGTGACGGCGGCGACAGCAATGGCGGCAGCGGCGATGTAATAGCGGATGCAGCCCTTCGCATGGCCGCTAGTACGGCGCTAGGCGGCTCCAATTCAATTGTCGAGGTGGCGGCGCCGGCGCCGGCGGCAAAGACCGCAGATCTAGGCTGTACGACCACCAGCGATGATGGCGGCACCGCCGTCGCTGCTTTTGCCGTCGTCGCGAGCTCCGACGACACCACGATCAGCGGCGTCGCCAACGGCAGCGCTGCCGCCGCCCTGGCGGACGGAGACGCGCAGCAGCACACCCGCCGCACCACACACCCGTCGTCATCGCCACTGTTACCGCATCTGCCGCCGCCGCTGGCTGAAGGTACCCCAACGCCGGCGTCGCTGCTGCCCCCGCCGGTGGTAAAAACTGCCGTACTGACGGAACCCGAACTGGAAACAGAGCCTGACGTGGCACAGCTCCACGGCGGCGCCGCCAGTGACGTTCCTGCCGCCGCCGCCGCCGCCGCCGCCGCTGGTCCCCCAGCGGCCGCGGCAGCTGATGTGAATTCCCCAGATGCTCTGGAGGCGCCAGTACCGCCGCCGCCGCCGCCGCAGCAGCAGCAGCATGATTCTGTAAGCGAGGGGCTCAGCACTGCTGCTGCCGCCACAACGCCGGCAGCGGCGGCGGCGGCGGCGGCGCCGCTGCCCTCGGTGCTTGCAGATGCCGTAGCGAAGGCCTGGCCTGACTCCGACATGGCGAGTCGCCTCCGGCAGCTGGCGGCTGCGGCGCTGATGGAGGGGGCTGCGGGGGGCGGCCCCTTAGGCCCGTGGAGCATGCTGTGGGTAAGACCAGTAGCGCGTACGGCACGCAGTAACGGAGTACGAACGGGTGAAAAATGTCCGACAATCCAAGTCCAGTTTGTTTTCTTTCATTTTTCCGCGTTTCTTTAAAAAATTTAAAAGTACGATTTTAAATAATCGATATGTGGTTTTCCGTACAGAAGGGATGTTTTGGCGTTACGGAATGCTATTGGATGATTACTAGCTTCACATGCTTGTTGTGCGGCAGTTGTTATCCAAACCAGCCAAACCGGCGGCTTCGGAACCTAATCCCTGCCTTTGTCCGTTCCAGTCGCCCTCCATCTCGTCCATCCTCATCTCGCACTCTGCTCATCCGTCTGCCCAAGAGCTCCCATCGTACATGTCCATACACTCGTCCATCTCTTCCTCGCCCTCCATGCCACGACGTTCCGCATGCCATGCCGTACCATGCCGTACCAGGCCCAGATGGCCGCTCGCATCCACAAAGACGTTCCCAACGCTCATCAGCGTCTGCTGGCGGAGTTTCCCCCGGCTACGTTTAAAAACAAGAAAACTGCCGTACGCGCCGTAATGGACGAGTCGTCATTTCCGCCGCTGCCGCCGGCATCGGCAACGGCTTCCGAAGCGCCGCGAGGCGCGTTCCTGCGTGTCGTACATAATGTGTACGACTATGTCGTACAGCTTGATTTACCGGCGCTGTTGTCCTGGGCGATGGAGAGGCGCTTGGAGGCGCTGTGGGGCCCGTCGGCGGCGGCGACGGCGCCGTCAGCGGCGGCGGTGAAGCGCTGTATTGCGCGACTGCTAGCGGCGGCGCCGCCGCCGTACCAGCTGGAGTTTACCCGCTTGGGCTCATACGTTCGCAAGTTGCTGGACGGCCATGTCGTACGGGGCCTCCAAAAGATTTGCCGTCAGGACCCAGATATCTTTGCAGTATCACTACAGGTGCGCGTGTGGTTGCCAAAACAGGCTCTCAGTGAAAAATCGTGAATATTTTTGCAAAGGAAAACGGATTGCTTAGGTGCTTAGGTCTTTTACTTCCTTACCAAAAATATTTAATTATCTGTTTTCTCTCGCATGTAACAGAGCAAGGATCATTACGTCGTACGTCTGGTGGACGAGCAGTTGCTGGCCTTGGCGGCGGAGCTGAAGGAGGCGGTAACGCGGAGAGTCGCCGACAGCGGCGGCTCCGAAACCACTGCTTCTTCTGCCCTTGTTTCTGCTTCTCCTTCTACTGCTGCTGCTACAGCTACAGCTACTGCTATCGCGGCGGCGGCGTCCTCGGCGTCATCGCCGCGACCGCGTTCGTCGTACGTTCAACCTTGCCAGAGTTGCCAGAGCGAGATCGAACCTACTAAGTCGCCGTTAGTACCCAAGTCCAAGGCCAAGTCCAAGGCCATGCCGCCGCCGCCGCCGTTGCCGCCGCCGAAAGTTAAGGCGCCGCCTCCGCAGCAGCAAAAACCGCAGCAGCCGCCCCCTGTGTCGGAGGTTCTGCAGGAGGCCCCGGGGCGCGAAGACGTGCAGCAGCAGCAGCAGCAGACGACGACGACGACGACGACGACGAAGCGCCGGCGGCGGCAGCAGCAAAAACAGAAGCAACTTCAACAGGGGGACGCCGAGGGGGACGCCGAGGGGGACGCCGAGGGGGACGCCGAGGGGGAGGGGGAGGGGGAGGGGGAGGGGCTTCTCCTGCAGGTGCGCGCCGACGAGCAGCCCAAGTTGCACCTGGCGCAGCAACAGCAGCAACAGCAGCAGCAGACGGTGGAGATCAGCCGGTTGGAAACTGCAGTTGACGGCGGCGCCGTATGCGGCGGCGGCGGCGCGCAGCAGCAGCAGCAGCAGCAGCAGCAGGGGCCTCAGGAGGAGGATCCGCCCGCGCCCACACACGTATACCCGTATGTGCCCGTTCCGATCCCTGTTCCTTACACGGACGACGACGACGATGACGAGGAAGGGGAGCCAACGCCAAGTACGGCGGCGCCGTTCGTCCCTTATCCAGCGGCGGCGGCGGCGGCGGCTCCGGCAGCGGTGCCAGACCGTGATGCCGTACGGGCAGATATTACGGCAGCCGCCGAGAGCGCTGTCGGCTGGCTGCTGGGGTACGAACATCCCAGCGGGGGCGGGCCGTGCGCCTGGGCAGCGGCGGCCATAGCGGGGGCTTCCGTACAGGCTGTGGTGGACCCGTACGGCCCTGAGGCCGGTACGATGAGGGACCAGTGCCGTACATGTACGCAGGTGGGCCTTGCCGTACAGGCATGCGGAGGACAGCCAGTGCTGGTGGCGGTGTACGCGCCGGCGACGGTGGCGTGGCCAGCAGCAGCAGTGTATCTCGTTGACTGTACGGCGTGTACGGCGTTGTTTGGCGGCCTGGCCATCGGTAAAGACATGCTGAGAGTGCTGTTGACCAGTCTCCGGGGGCTTCTAGAAGATCCGGAGGTAACCAAGGTGGTGCATGGCTGTGAGCAGGTGGGTTGTGTATGTATGTATGTATGTATGTATGTATGTATGTATGTATGTATGTATGTATGTATGTATGTATGTATCTATGTATCTATGTATGTATGTATGTATGATGTTACAGGGTGGTATAGCTTCACCAGCGGCCCCCTTTTCCGAGGCAGTTCCCTGCTCTCCTCTGCGAGAGGGGCACCCTAATCCGTTCACCCCATCTGACTTCAGAATCTATTCGTTGGGTTCAGCAACTCACCACCAGCACCCAACCAAATCTAGCGGATCAACAGCGCCAAAATTTAGTTCCTGGTCAGCTCGCAAATTGCTATGTATGTATGTATCTATGTATGTATCTGGGTGTGCACATCTAATGGCTCGCGGGTTATGCCGTAGATGTCTAGTATCGTACATGCCGTACATACAGAACCATCATGCTTGAGGAGAAGGCAGCTATTGTTGCGTCAGCAGAAATAGCAATAACAGGGGTGAGGGGATGTTTCAAAGAATTGCATCGCTTATGCTGCTTGTGCTCTGTTGCATTGTGTTTTACCTTGTCGTACCTTTTTCCCGCCATTCGTGGCTGTGGCTTCCATGACGATTATAAGTGGTTTATTTAGGAGTCGTCAATTCCGGTCGTGACATGGTCTGATTAGGCAACATCTTATCCGTTGGATTTCAGTTAATCCTTATTTTATTTTAATAATAAAAGATTAATAAAAGATAAGAAGGTATCAATCTTTTTTTCGCCCTGGATGATTTGTCCTGGCCTGGATAATTTGTTCAGGTCCGCTGCCTAGAAGCCGCCTGCGGCGGCGCCGTCACCGCGCCCCTGGTCGACACCCAGATTCTGCTCTGCGGCATCTCCTTCATGCTCGGCCTGCCGCCCGTACCACCCTCTCCTAACCCCTCCGGTGTCGACGTGCCCCAAAACCAACACCAACGCAACCAGCAGCACACACTCGGCAGCCCGAATCCAACGAGCCCCAACAACTTACTGTACGGCCTGCAAGCCGATCTGGCTGTCGTACACGATTACGTCAGCCGTTTGTACGACGCACTCAAGGGCATAGGGCTTTGGTCGGAGCGGCCGGGCCTCCTGGAGGCGCTGGTGCAGAGGCACTATGCGGGGCTCCGGAGGAGTGTGCTGGAGTCGCGCATGCGGGAGGAGGGGGGTTCGGGGGGAGGCCCGGTGTCGGCGGTGATGGCGGCGCTATGGCTGCCACGGCCTCTGGGGTTGGCGCAGGTGGCGGTCCTGGCGAGCGGCGTAACGGCGCTTCCGGAGATTTGGCTGGCAATGGTGGAGGAGGCTGTGCTTTGGGTGGCAGTGCACGCGCCCATAAATGAGATGCACCGGCTGCGCAGTACGGAGGTCACCGAAGCAGCGGCGGCGGCGGCGGCGCCGCCGCCGTCGCCATAATGTAAAAGCCACGAGCGTCTTGTGTGTTAGGGGCAGTATGAGAGAACGGACTCCGTGGCATTTCGGGCCTCGTATGAGAGCTCCTCCTGCCTTCCGGCGTGCTGTCTTCCCATCGTTTTGTTGGATTGCGTTGCTTAGATGTTTTGACTTTGTGTGGCGATGTGGTTCTTACAGGTTTAGCACACGGTAGTAGCTGTACAGATCGGTTCATGGTGATTTGCGAGCAAGAGGTTTTGAAATTTTGAACTTTTTTATGTGTGTGCAAGGACCCTGAGCAGGGTACGGCATCAATATCATGGCTATGCGAGTATAACGACCCGAAAGTAGGGTACGGCATTAGTATTTTGGAAGTATTTACGTGAAGCTGATGTTCGAAGAATGTTGGAAGGGTTTCGAAATGATGGCAATTTTGTGGGGCTTGTGTACCTTAGCTATTAGATATTTTGCTAGAATTCTCAGATTGTAAAGATTGTTGCGCGGTGATGTGAAGGAGATTTAGGGCTTTTGCATTAACATCACCTGCTTTTGGTTTCGAAGCGTCTGTTTCACTTTTTTGAAGCTTAGGGGAGACATGGCATTTTCACCACACACGTTGCCAAGCGGTAATGCGACTTTTGGCCGATAGCTTTGTAAAAAGATGAGGAGCAGTGCTGCTTAACGCAAGCTCAGCTCCAGTAAAAGTTCCAGATTAAAAGCCACTTCAAGGCGATGTGTTGTTACGCCTTTAAAACTCGACTTTTTTCATTTCATAGGGTTTTAGGGTTTGTCACAACCCGCCCTGTCAAACAGAAAGTGCTCAATCATGTCTAAGCCCAAGGCACGAGTATATGTATGTTGTTACAGGGTGGTTAACTTCGCCAGCGGCCCCCTTTCCCGGGGCAGTCCCTGCTCTCCCCTGCTAGAGGGGCACCCTAATCCGTCACCCCATCCGACTTCAGAATGTATTCGTTGGGTTCGGCAACTCACCACCAGCATCCAACCAAATCTAGCGGATCAACGGCGCATCAACTTAGTTCCTGGTCAGCTCGCAAGTTGATATTATCACGTCCTACACCGTCCATAAGATGGGGGGCCACCTCCCATTTCATCACTCCTCAAACACCCGAGGAGCCGGCAGGCGGATTTGAACCCGGGTCGACTGGGTTGACTGGGAGCAGAAGTCAGGCCTTAACCTCTGCCAGCCGCCTGCCCGTATATGTATGCATAGGCCACCCACCCACCACAATTTTATTCACGGCGAGATGCAGCAGTTTTTAGATTATTAAACGAACCATCGCGAGCCATATGCCTCTCCCAGAAATGCTATAAAGGAGACAGAAGTACGCAGTACGGCTGTACCGCCAAGTACGTGACCGTCCCGTCACCAATCTTATCTAACGCTATAATCTCTACACCTTGTTTGTCAATCCAATCCAAGCAAGTCAAAACAACCACACACGCAACAACTATCTCCTCCTGCACGCGCGTATGTGTGTCTGTGTGTGTGTGCGTTTCCAAGTCCGCGCCGCCTCGCCCCAACCCCCGTTGCCTAGGGTTTTACCAGGACGATCATCACCTAGATCTTTCCTCCCAGTCGCTTGGACACTACAAACATACTTTCATACTCTTACATTCTGTTCTCAACAGAACTCAGTCAACAGAGCCAACATGGGAGTGCAGTACTGTCAGTACAAGACTGTCGGCTCCCGCCGCTGGAGTAGGAGTCGCGCCGCCGCTCGCCGCCAACCCACTTGCAAACAGCTGAAACTGCATACGATGATAAACCACGCACGCACGCAAACCCCCCCACACACGGCAAACCCGTCCAAATCGTATTCATATCGCCAAACACCAACCCCCTCAAACATCCTCCCATGAATGTCGACGTCATGGCGACACACAGACAGAGAATTGTTTTGCTATCGTCCAAATCTAGTCCAAGTCGTACAGGATTTCGAGGCGCGCAAACAAACGCAAAGGGGAAGGCAAAGCTTCTTCCCTTCTCTTGAGGCTCAGACACCTTTCATCCCTTCTCTCCCTCTTTGCCGTCCTCGCCGCCGCCACCCAACCAGGTTTCTGATCTCTTTCGTAAAGAGGCATGTCAACCCCGCGTTGTCTGGTGAGATGTAAGCCAGAAAGTGGTCTAGACAGAAAGCCCTCCTGAAGAGACGAAGTCCGGCGTCCTGCGTCAAAGGAGCTCTTTAGCACCCTCCCCTCCCCTCCTAGGTATAATACCCTTTTTGGTAATCGTTGCCTCACCGACCACGCCGTCGCACCGCATTCGTACGACAACCCCAACTACTCTTAAGGCTGGGTACGACAGTTGAAAGGCGGTTGGGGGCATACAATCTGAACTAACGGCACGTTTGTACGACGCGCTACTCGCCGCTTCGGAGCTACATCTGAACCGTAACGGTGCCGCCCAGTCGCCCAGTGGCAGCCAACCGGTCGAGGAAGGCAATACACACACACATGCACACACAGATCGGACTGGCAGACACAAACACGCACTTCTCATTAACCGAAACAGATTTGTGCCAGTGGGTTCACGGGTGTGCGGGCATGGGGGTTAGGACGGAACACTGATGTTGAAGCAGCAGCAGCAGTAGCAGCAGCAGCAGCGGGGGTGGTTTCAAGGATCGCTCCAGCAGGCAGTCCACTGTTACCCACGAGATTTCCACAAACCCTTCATTCCCCTCCCCACCCCCACCCCCACACCACCACTACCCACTCTTCTCGCCAAACACGCCAACGGGGAGAGGAGAGGAGTGGGGAGGGTTTGCATGTTGTTGCATCGGGGGCTCCACTGGCGATTCTTATAATGCGGCGGGACATCGCCGAAGCCTCTCCAAAAGAAACGAAAAATAAACGACAAACCCACTGCAGCAGCTGCAACAGCTGCCTAGCTGGTAGCCCATGAGCTCGTGCGGTTTTCATACGCATATCGCCGCCGCCCGTGTGGTGGCTCCCCTCCACTCACACCACACACACATCACGAGTTCTTGTTTAGAAACTGAGATCTTACATACTTCCGGTGTATCAGCGTATCCTTGGCGTCAGCTTCACTCGTTCGTGGGGTTCGTCTTCCCCCACATCACACCACACCCGGCACATGCAAATAAATGTGTTGTGGCATACACACAGGCACAGGTACACGCCAGGCACACATATGAATTACATTTTACTCATTTCTACTCATCTACTGACCGAGAGACGAGAAGGAGGAAAACATCATCATCCGCCCAAACCGTCAAGACATGCAAAAATGTCCCATCTCAGAAGCAGGAAACGGCGGGAATGACGTATGGAGGATTACGTAGAACGATGCTAGCAAAGCCCTGCAGCAAAGGCTATCCAGTAGTATAGAGTCATCAATGCGTATGTTGTGTTTCATTCCCCCGACGCACCTTGCCGTTACACACCGCAGCTCCATGCACCCGCGGAGAGCTGTCCCAGCAGCACACATACACACCGAGCACACGGACACAAACTCAGACGGGGGGATTACCCCTCATATCCGCCCCTTTCCCCCTTCCCTCCCAACATACATACATACATACCCGCACACACTCTCACTCGTCACAGCTGTCCCCGGATCCATCCGGCTCCGGCGCCTCAATCCCGAGATGGCTGTAGCACTCCGGCTTGAGTACGCCAATGTACGGCAACGTACGGTACTCCTCGTCAAAGTCCAGACCATACCCAACGACGAATTCATTCGGGCACTGCAAAAGGTAAGCGGGGCGGCCGGAAGGGCGCGACGCGGAGTCAAATGTCGAATGCGCGAATTTAGGTAACCTACACCACACAGGCCTGTAGCTTGAGATTTCGGTCCGGCACCCGAACAGCTCAAAATTTCCCTCAGGACTAAGAAAATCCCTCTTATTTCTTCATCCCTCTTATTCTCCCACCGAATTTATAGAAGAACACTAAACATTGTATACATAAATTATATATATATACACACAGAGAGGGAAAGAGAGAAAGAAAAAAAAAGGGCGCCTTGCCTGGGCTCCCCCGCCTGCCGGGCGCAGCAGTCCCTCACCCTCCTGCCCCCCTACCCCAGCAGTGCACTCTTGGCATACAGACCTCACCTCCGCCTCGTTCCCTGCCCACTCGTTGCCCTCTCCTCCCGCCCCCCTCCGACCTCCTCAACGAGGCCCCCGTTCCTCCATCCCGCCTGCTAACCATCCGGCAGTCGGCGCGTTAAACGTCGCCAGCTGGCACGTTGTCTTTTTCAAA